AATCCAAAGAAAAGAGGGGCACAGTTACGTTATTAAGGCGTATTAAGCATGATAGTGTAGGGATAATACCTCAAAATATGCAAGCATAAAGTTGGCTCAACTTGTTCCTATCTAACATGAGTTAAGCCTTACATTTTTTTTTATAATAACTAAAAGTTAAGTAGTTATCAGCCACTGACTTATAGGTAATATCTCACGAGATTCACCTTTTTGCCGCTGTGATAATTACATTGACGTCAAGACCCTGAAGAGGCGTAAAATCCAGTCTTGAACTGTTAATGTATAGGAGGCTAATATTTAAGAGGTGAATGCATCACCTTCTGTTTAAGGTACTTCAGACTTTTCACACATCTCAATGTTTGATAGAATACAAAATGTTTTTTGTCTGAACAGGAGCAAAGATGTAAAAACATACAGCATATTGAAAAAAACATAAAACTAGAAAACTCTTTCTGATATAATATGTGACTATTTCTACTCTGTGTAATTTGCTTTCTTTTAAAACAAAAACTTTAATTAGTTATGAATGATGCCTTATGAATTCTTTGATCCAGTGTGTCTCAGCTCAGTCGGGTTCCTGGGAGACCCCAGCTGTCCTCCTCTGTGGAAATCTTTAATGTGTTCACAAGAAAAGATTACAGTAGTGTTTATTTCAAAAACAAGATTTTCACTGGAAAAGAGTTGTCCCATTGTAATAGATCAGAGCAATCCTTCAACATCCTTTTACAATTCACAAACAATTATTTATTTTGCAACATTATATTTATTTTTTAACACACAAATACAAAACTGTTTCCACTTACAGTAACCCTTGTAACCCATTTCAAATCTTGTCTAACATATCTTTAAAATACTTTTATACGTCTGCCCATGATCTGCTACTCTCTCATACTTTCCTATTATTGCATCTAAAATATTGGCAAACATGTTTGTGACAGTATTTTAAGAGCAGAATATCAAATACGGATCTTTTTTAAACACATTTCTAGAGAAAATGAAGTTTGTTTCTTGCGCCAAACCAAACAGATACAAAATGTCCTGCAGCGCAATGTTTCTTGGCTCAGTCTTTTTGAATATTGGATGCTAGAGTTATTATTCTCTGATGATTACCTCCTTATCGTTTGCCATAGTTGAAACATCTAACCTTTGGGAAATGTTCTCTGTCCCTTCTGAGATCTTCACTGTCTTTGCAAAAATATATCTCAAGACTTCTTAAACACCTTTAGTGCAGAAGGGATCTTTTATGTGATTAATGTACGTGCGTGTGTTTTCATCCACAGGGATTTACCATTTACTAATCTCTAAGTAAATTGAGTAGTACCCCAGGGGTCAATCCTTGGACCCATTTTTTATTTTCTCTCTACAGTATATGCTACCACTTGGATATTTATACAGATAAATTACATTTTATTTCACTGTTGTGCTGATGGCACACAACTTCATCTCCCAGCAAACCTAGCACCAACCTTAACCTCTCAATTTTTCTCACAGATATAAAAAAATACATGGCAGCAATTTCACTCAAACTTAACTCTAACAAAACAGAAATCCTCAGATAAAAACTCTTCACCAAAATGTGACTGCATATAACAGAGCGAGCCTGCTATTTAGCTTGAGCATTTTGAGTTATCTTTAAGGGATTTAAATCTTTTTCATCCACTCAAGAGGTCAATGAGTTCCCAAAACACAGATAAGAACATGTAATCCTGAGTATTAGCATGAATATTCTCTAAACTCAGGTCAGGAGGCTGCATGCAACACAACTGTCTTGCCGTCATTCGTTGTCCTTCTTTATTGCTATGTCAGATGTGGGAAACTCTTGACCACAATAAACCAAGTGGCCACCTCTGCTGTTGAAAAATTAGGCCAATGTGGAAGTGCAAAAACCCTGCAGTTATTGAATGTCCCCTTGAGGCAGGCTGCCTCTTCTTGGATCAAGTCATCAAGGCTTTAGATAAAACACACATTAAAGTATTCATGTCTTAGACAGAATACTATTAGACCCTAAACTTGAGACATCAAATGACAACTAGTTAAGTTAGCAGCCATTAAACACATGTACATAAATATTCCACAGTGCAGGGTGATGCTTTGTTATTCCATCCATTTCGCATCTGTGAGACACATGTTTTGAATCCATTGCTGTCACTTTTGGGAAATGTGGCTGTAATCTTTACCCCTCATAACAGTTTTCTTTTTAAAAAGGAAGCTTGACCACCCCCCTCCCCCAACCCACAGTTCCATAATGATAATAATCTACATGACCCTTACATGTCTTTGGTGTTTACCCAAGATTTACAAGTAATTCATATTAAATTCAGTATTTCTTGTCCTCAGGTTACTAATGTCTATACTGCCTGCCAACTGACCTACATATTCCATGTTTGCATGTTATTTTAACTTAAAAAGAATCACTTTAATTTAGACAAGATTTGGGGGAAATACTTTACTTATCTGAGATTAGACTCTTCCGGATTCTGGAGGGTCTCAACAAATTAACTCCGCTTCCTGAGAAAATGTTGCTTCATGGAGAGAAGCCACTTTGTTTTCCACAATATCATGTCAACAGTTTTGTGGTTTACAAATACTCACTTGAGAAAGTGCAATGCTCATATATTGCTGCCTTCCAAATAAGTCACTTGTGGGTATTCTGAGGAACTGTTTCTACCCGGAAAGTTGAAAAAGGGTAAAAACTGACAAGCTTTGGTGGAACAAGCAATCAGATCATTGATAAGAATAATTGGATATTTACTTTCATTCCACAAATTAGAAGATTGACACAACTCTTATATTTATATTTCAATAAAAGACTAGAATCAGAGCCAGGTTAGCAGCTTATCATTCAACAATGACAAAAAAGAAGCATGATTTTATTTCATTAGTTATACACTGAGGACCTCCTTTATTGATCATCTACTGACATGTGACCGCTTGTTGTTTTAGAGATCAGAAGACAAGAAGTTAAAAACTACAAATCCCTTTTTTACAGGGTCTTAATGGAGTATTTCTTGCCAGGAAAGCAATGGGTTAATCTGTCATTAATAAAATAAGGTGGACAATGAGTTAATAGAGTTTTGAAATCTGGACTTGTTGAAATCTTCAGGCTGTGGAGTATCCAGTTAACAGAGTGTTGCTGGTTTCTTGGGTTCTGGCCAAAAAATAAAGATACATTAAGGACAGTAGTAAAAACCTGTGGATGAAGAGCATCTTCATACTTGATATTTGTAAGAGGGTTAAAGGACATGTCCTCTGTGGCTCTGAAAGAAAATTTGTCAAGTCCAGGCCAAATGATGTCATAGTGATGTCATGTGGACTATCTCAGCCAGACACTTGTATTTGTATTTGTATTTGTAACCGAGAGCCTTCAGTGCTAACTGAAAAAAAGATGTCATTTATTTGGTAAGGGATCTAATGACTAATGTTTAAGTTGCACTATGGTGAGCGTAGGGTCAAGGGTTTTCGTCCTCGCTTCATCCATGCAAGAGACTAAACTACAGGGCTGCACTCGGAATGTAAATCTTGGGGGAGCGGGTGATTTTTAACACTGCTGTGGGAGGTAGTGGGTTGTCAAATAAATCACTGCAGGTCCTGGATTTATGTAGTGTTAACAAAGATATAATCAAAAAATGACATCGAAAAGAAGATAAGGAGTTATTTTTTAAACTCAAAAGCAAAGCAAGGCAAGTCTGACATCTGTACGGATTTCTTAGTTGTAACTGACAATGATTGAAAGGAACTGGACTTTGTTAGTTGCAACAAATGTGCAAAATGTGAGATATAGAGTGGGGCTTCAATTTGACACTTCTGGGTTGAGATGACACATCTGCTCCCTTCTGCATGGTAAGCTCTCCTTCAAAGGTAAAGCACTTCTCCCTGACCATCAGTATGCATTTTCATGGTGGCAGACATGCCCAAAGGCTCAGCATGGACTGAAATGACTTCCAATAAGAAAAACTTGCGTTGCATCATATTTAGACATGAAGCCAATTCAAAAGCACATATGCAATAGTCAGAGCAAAACCAGCCCCAAAAAAGCCAAAACTACTGCATCAACATCAAACAGGCTGCAAATATTTTGGATGCATTATTTAAAAAAACAACAACACTTTTTTTAGAAAACAACTGCAAATAGAGAGTTGTACAACTGTTGGGGCCAGTTAAACTGTCTAACGTCAAGATGTCTCTGCTAGTTTCATTTTATGGATCTTAAAGTCAAGCAAAGCAATTCCACTCTGGTCCAAACTGAAGTATCTCAATAGTTGTTGGATGGATTGCCATTTGTGTTTCCATTAGCATAAAATGTTTTGATTTCGGTGATTCTGACATATTATGCAGCAGCAGCATCAGGTTTTATTTTTTCTGTAACCAAGACTATGAGGCTATTTTTAAACTAATCCCTCAAATTGCTGTTCAGGTGTCCTGTGTGTTAATGCTTATCAAAGTGTTGCAAGTTAACATTCTAAACATTTCTGAGTCCAGCCTTACAGAACAGATAGCATAGCTGTTGATTTTAGTCCTGTACCCAAACTCCAAAACATGTACCAAAACATGAATGCATAAGGAATGGCTGGATACTGATTTCCTAACAATGACACATTTGCCATAAAGTCTATAAACCTCTGAAGTGGAAAATGTGAGGTATTGCATGACATCATGACATGAGCAGTTATTTCTGGATTCAATTTATTTTTCTATCGCTTAAGGGTTCATGAACATTTACACATCTGAAGAATATCTTGTCTAATTTGGAAAACATTTGGTGCTTTCTGGCTTTTCTCAACCATCTTTCCTGTGGGTTTAATGCAAGCTTGATCATTTTCTGCAGCCAGACGAATTTCATTAATCTGTTATTTTGAGAAATAATCATCCAAAGCCAGTCCTTAAGGGAAGCACATGACCTCTCCCTCATTCCCTGAGGGAGCGAGCACCATATGCTGACTATCACTACTTTAAGAGTCCTTTCAGTTTTTTACAAGAATTCCCATGTAATCATGCCTCGGGGGATGTTAATATTTCACCAGAGTTGTTGGCCTGAACTTCGACTCTGAGATGTTTTGGCTTTGAGTTGAGCCAAGTAGCGAGGGAATATAGAGACAAACTCCCAACAGGTGAGATGACCAAAACATTTTCATTCTCAACAGATTCGTCCCACTTCTTGCTTAAATACTGATTTTTTTAAATTGCATTTTGACAGTTTAATATGTCTCAATATTTTTTTATTCACTGATTGTAAAACCTGTTGTATGTTCTTTTTCAGAGAACAACCTGAGTCTTAGTCATGATGGAGACAGAGCCGACAGCTGGGAGTTGTCCTGACCCAAGCCAAACTGTTGTCAGGACCTGGGTCTCCTTCAGTACAAGAGGTACGAGTGCTCAGCTGCTGTTAAATATTAGGAATGTTCCTCAGGGAATATTTAGCTCACTGTTTTTATTTTTCCTATCATGCCTTCAAAAAAGCTTTAGAAACCTGCTGAATGCACAGAAACCAGACAATTATATTAGTCAGCCTCTATTCTTGTAGTTTAGTTACAAACAGCAAGTTTGTCCTCACAAAAGTTAGTTTTTCTCATCTAAATAGATGTTTCAGTGTTTCAATACAAATGAGCCTTATTTTAATTCACCTGTAAAAATGGGGAAAACAATATTTAAAAGGGTGAAATGCTGTCTTAGATTTAAAATATATTGTCATGAAACATCCGGACAAAGAGCAGTAGCAGAGGTGTTGATGTCACGTTCACAACCATTTCCTCCAGAATATTTTATAATCTATTTCACAAATTACAGCATTGTGGTTGTAGAAAAATTAGTTGTTATTATAGTTACCGTCCTTTACTGATTTTATTTGACCCTTTGTTTTGACCAAAATCCACCACCGAGTCAAAGTCCACCAGCTTTATGGAAGTGAAATGAAAAATCACCACGGTAACCCTTCCAGTTACAGTGAATGTGAATAATAGCCTGGGTTATAGATTGGTGTTTTGGATAACAGGAGATTCACTCTGTCAAGTAAATACCACAGTTAGTTTCAGTTTGGGGACACGACATCAGTGAGAGTTTCTAAGTGCTGTTGAGACGCGTACAATGTGTCCACCAGTCGGATGTTTGAAAGTGACGTTAATATGTGGTAGGAAATGGAAACGGTCACAGCTGTTTACTTTGTTCCTCCTTCATGCACTAAACAGACGTTTCTCTGAACGGACTCCAGCTATTCCAACTGTTTGGGAAACACCATGTTGATGTTATTTGTTGAGCTCTGCAGTAGTGTATACTGGAACTCATTGAACACATTTCAAACTTAGTGAACATCAATTTGATAAATATATTTTTAAAATGATTTGTTTGTCGCTCCATGTTTTCACATGCCTTTGTCTACAAGTCTGTTTCCTCTTGCCTCTGTTAGATATAACATATTTCACAGTCTGTTTTACAAACTTCTAAGACATGTTAACCATAATGAGCAATAATCATTTTTTTCAGAATAAAGTTACTGTGGCTGAGATTCCTAATATGTGCCTTTAAAACTGCAGTGGTCCTGCTTTTATGATTTAAAAAAAAACTGTAGCAAAGTCTACAAAAGCTGAAATCACTGTCTTGTAAATTTATGAGCTCAGAGTTAAGTTCAATTGGAAGTACATGAGTCATCATTTTTTGTAGGGTACAAACATTTTCAAGGCAGAATATCAAACGCTGAAGAAGAATCGATAATCTGTAAAAAGACTGAAAGTAAAGGGCGGGCATAGAGCTGCAATTCTGTGTAAATAATGTTAATTTACAACCAATTTTCTGAAGCAAATATGTATAGCCGCTTTAGCAACAGATCCACGTCTAGAAACTAAAGTATAGGTAATCTTTTAAATGTGTATTTATTTCCTCAGCATTCTGTAAGGCTCTTTGAATTATCATTGCTTTTACCAAGTTGCAGATCTTTGAATCATTTAACTCCCACAAGTTTGACCTTAACTGACCATGGGCTACCATCTGAGAGCAATGGTCAACTTTTTGTGGCTTCATTTTTAACCAGTGGTTTACAATAACAGATTGCTGAGGAATACTCTATGAACTGCATTGATTACAGTCTAACAAACAACTTGTGGAGCGAGAACTGAGTTGAAGTTGAGAGGCAACGTCTTGTGGAATGATAGCGGCGCTGAATGCAAATATCTGTTTAAAGATATTAGTTAAAGCTCCTCATTAGATGACTGCTGACTGGTTTAGGATTTAATTACAGTGCACTGCTTTACGCCTCTAATGCTCTCCATGCAGACTGTTTTCTTGCACACAGCTAATGCCTGCTGAAAGGCTAGTGGACGATTCTACTCGTACAGCAAACGGAGATCAGAACAGTTCTGCTATCAGGGCGCGCTGTTGGCGCAATGGTTAGGGCGCGTGTGCGCCCCATGCATTGAGGCTGTCATCTCAAGCAGGCAGCCTGGGTTCGCATCCTGCCTGTGGCCTCCTTCCCGCATGTCGTTCCCCACTCTGTCTCCCTGGTTTCCGACTCTATCCACTGTCCTGTCTCTCCATTAAAGGCACAAAAAGCCCCCAAAAAAATCTTTAAAAAAAGAACAGTTCTGATATCAAAATCCTGTCCTGCACCCAAGGATTCTTCATTACACAGAATCTGTTACTAGAAATTAGACATTGTCAAGCTGTGTGCCAGAGCTAAGGAGAAGTTATGACAAATGCAATTCATGAGGATAAACTTTATCAAACTGCGACCTCAAGCAGAAATGGGCAGAACTTGGGGGGAAAAAAAGGAACAGTTTATGTTTAATTTCATGGTTACTGGCCTTCTGACAATCCCATTGACTGGCTTCTGGTCTGTGAATTGTGTTTTGGTGCTGAACGTTAAACTAAACAGTGATTAAAAGTCAGTAAAGTGTTACACAATGTAAGTGAAGCTGTTTAAGAGGTGACCTTTGTTACAACAAGACATACTGACATTACCATACTCACTAAATTGTTGTTTTTATTCCAGGAAATGAGATGAAACATTGACCAAGGATCAGGCAAACGCTTACTCAGCAATTTGCCTAAACACACACACAGACACACACATGACACACACGTTGAAAATGAATCATACTTGTAATAATAAACAAAAAACCAAACATATGCTCATACATACACATACAAATTCATGTTCTACACTCTGTACAAACAAAGTCATACAGAATTATCTGAGTAAAAGACAAAAGTTTAATTGTTTTAATAACACAAATACACATGTACTTTAATTAAATACTTACAAAACGACAATATTAAGAGGCAACTAACAACACAAAAACACACAGACATTATTTTCTCTGCTCTCACACAGATTTATCCTCGTCGTTTGACCCTTTTTGACCCTCTTATCTTCATGTTTCCCAGGACCACCCAGTGAGGCCATCTCCCGTTTCCATGGTGACGGGGTTCGGTACAAAGCCAAACTGATCGGCACTGACCCCGTACTGGACGCCCAGGGAGAAAAGATGTGCTGGGACTCCATGATGAAACTGAAGGTATTCTGTGTCCTTCAACACCAAAATAAACCTTCCTCCATATTTTCTTCATTAAAGCTGGTTCTCTGTCTGTCACTTCCAGTCATCTTATCTGGGATATCATCTAAAATAAAAATAACATAATATCATATTACGAGTAAGATTGAAATGTGTAATCATTATATTTCATGATTCAGGGTGAGTCATGTTCATAGGCGTGCATTTACTGCGTTCAGACAGACCAAAAGCACATGATAAAGAGCACATTTTATTACATTTGACATATTATTCAGTTTGTTTCTTCTGGTGTAAATGACAGTTGGAATCTGTTATAAATGTATTGGTTTGAGTTCAGATTTATATTAAATAAAGTGATATTGGCTGATTTGTCCTTAACAAAACTTAACGAGAGTTGACTGCCATGCTAGCAGCTCTGTAAGAGTTTACTTTATCATCCGTTAGTGCTAAATCATGTCAGCATACTAACATGCTTACAATCACAACGCTAATATATTAAAGGTAAACTTTTTACGATGCTCACCGTCTTAGTTAAGAGTTTTAGTATTAGCTAAATAGCCATCAAAACAAAGCACAGGTGTGCAGGTGGACCTTTTTGTTCATAAACTAAAATCATCATTATATTGAGCCGATGATGCCACTAGAAGGTGAAAGAATGATTATCACTTAAACTAATTCTGGAACGCTGGCAAGATTTAAAAAACAAACAGACAAACAAAAATAACAGATTGTGTACCTGGAAGAAAATGACCAACCCCACCTTGAAATTGTTCAAATTATTGCACAGGTGAAATAAATCACCTGAGATACCTATGCAACCTTGAAGATATTAAACAGTTAAGCAATAAAATAGTTATGTGTCCAGATGAAGCGGCAAACCTCCAGTGTTTAAAAATGAAGCTGATGCAGAAGTGCAAAATCCTGCAGTTCTTCAAGTGTCCGCTTGAGGCTGGCATCAGAAGCACAGGAAGTCACATACACATCCGTTCAAAAAAAAAAAAAGCCAGTTTTTACAGCTGAAATGAACATGTTTACAGTCTGGTTCTAAGAACAAAATATGTCTGATTAGCTCATGTCTCAATCGGCACACAGTTGGTGAATTTTTTGATAACTCATCTGTTTTGATTTTTCAAAGGATAAGCGTTATTCACAATAAGGCAGGCACATAGCTGACCTGATTGACAGGTGGGCGTGATGTAACGGTTTGTGAAGAGGCTTAAAACAGCCTCAGCTCCAGCTCTTAACCTGTCGTTGGGTTGAGATTTGCAGCATGGAGACCGCCAGCAGTAACCTGCAGTAACAGACGGGTGACGTCACTCAGGCGTCATCCATTAAAATGTGCAGTCCTACGGTCCAGATGTGTGGCTGCACTGTAGGCAATCTAAACAGAATAATGGCTGCAAACTGTGTATACACGCTGACTTGTAGAGGATAACATTTATGTAGGCTGTATTTATAATATTTGCAAACATTTAGAACACTTTTTAAAAGTAGTTTACATGTCCCTGTTGATCAATGTAAAAAAAAAAAAAAAATAGGCTCATTAAATGCACTGAAATATTTTAGGACAGTAAAGCGTGGGGGGGGGAACGTCTAAAGGGGTATAAATTATTATTATTTAATGAAAAATGAACTCGGTCATGGGAAAAGTCCTATGGTGGAAAATTAACTTCTGACATGTCTGACATCCTGCTAGCTCGTGATGTCAGTGACTTCAGGCCGTTTAATCTCACAGGACTTTGAGTGATCCAGTGGGATTTTATTTTAAATATCTTATTTTCTTCTAAAGAAAGTGAAAATATAAGAAAAACAATAACAGATGATGAACTGATGAACCAGACAAGGGTCTACAGGGGCCATAAATTCTGAGGATACAAGAGGAGGGTCAGTGTCATCCATAGTCACACGTGAAACTACAAACAGCCTCATACACGTTAAAAACAGGGTTCCTACTTTAAAGACATTATGTGACACCTATATTAAAGAAAGTGTCTGTCCCACCCTGACACTTTCAATGTAGACCCTCAGTCAGACTGTTACAGGTTGGTACTGGTTCATGTACAAAACAAATGTTACTTAAACAGAAATATTCTAACGATGAAATAGTTTTCTACTGAGGGACTTTCCTGAAATGAATTATTAGTCTCTTGTGCTCACTATGCAAGTGTTGGTATAAATCAAGATTAGCCTGTGGACAAACTGTCATTTTAAACCGGCCCTTTATGTAGCCCTTTTCTAAAGCACGGAAAAGTACTTAATAAAGTAAATAAATAAATACATTATTTGGGTAACAGTAGTTCAGTCTGTAGGGACCTGGGTTGGGATATGGAGGGTCGCCAGTTCAAGTCCCAGTGCAGTCCAAATCTGGAAGTTGATAGCTGGAGAGGTGCCAGATCACTTCCCGAGCACTGCCAAGGTGCCCCTGAGCAAGGCACCAACCCCACCACCACCAGCTCAGGAGCGCCCGCTGTATATTTCAGCCTATGTGTGTGTTGCATGACTCATTGACAGAGTGTAAAAACAGAATTTCATCAATAAAGTAAATCTTCTTCTTCTTCTTCACAGACATCATTCGTAACATAAACTAATGTGCAGTTTGTTTAAAAAATTAATGTCCAATTTAGATTATGTTGGTAACAAAAAAGCCTTGTCATTGAAGGACTTACACATTTTTTTTAACACCTGTCTGTAACAGTATAATTCAATGCAGTGTATGTTAAAACTGATCTAAATTGACAAAATAACCATATATAAATAGAACCACATTAAAATGAGTGTAACTTTGTATGTATCTTCTCTTTATCTCTGCTACCATTCTTTGAAAGCAGCTCCTCTTGTTCACTCTTCTTTGTTCTTTTAACCCCCTCTGTGTTAGGGCTTCGAGGCAGCAGGGAGGAAACAAGGGAAACACAAGCAGAGAGTTTGGTTGAAAGTTTCCTCTGGAGGTCTAAAAATAGTTGACGAAAAGACCGGGGTGAGTTACTGGCATTGCTCCTTAAACCTCTATCTGTCTTTTCTGCAGCTTTAGTGCTCCCTTCAGGTCAATGGTTGAACGGTTCTGTTAGTTAGATTTGTGGCATTCATAAGAGTATGTGTGTTTCCTCCCTTTCTAGGCTGTACTCTATGACCATGACAGAACCAGGATCAGCTCTTTGACCAAAGATGAGTCTGACCCCAGAGCTCTGGCCTACGTCTACCAACACCAAGACTCCTACAACCTCTTTTACATCAAGATGGCCAACCTGGTAACACCACACAGTAATAACTGGCAAATAATCAATTTAAGTAATAAACAAGCAGAGCAAATTTAGTTTTTTGTGTATTTAATAACAAATGGGATATAATATGACATTCTCACAAAAATCATTAACTATAACAATACAAATAATTTATCATACCGTCCATGTAGGTATTGAAATTAAATCTATGACTCCTACTTTTGACACATTCATTACAAATTCCTTTTGTATTTTCCATTCTTGAACACAGTGTTAATATAGCAAGCTGACAACTAAATAAACAAACAAAAAACTGGCATATCAACTACACTGTGGTTGCGCCAACCTTATCATTTCCCCAAATATGAGTTCAATTTTTAAGCTAAGATTAACAGGCAAAGGCTTGAAAATATGCATTAAACAGACCGCCATGTGATAGTTTATTGTGGGGAAAAGCTACCCGAACAAACATGGACAAAAACTACCAATATGAGCGAGACCACACATACAATCAAGTTAATGTGTTTTAAAATGAGATGTTTTATCTGTGTTCATCAGGCAGATCCAGTCCTGACTGACATCAAGGAGGTCTGTCAGGGTATACACAGACTGATACCACAGGGACCTGCAGAGCCACAAGCACAAGTCAGAAATCGTTATGAGTGTTTAATAATGTGTCTGTGTGTGTACGTGCATGTTTTAAATCTTTTATGTTTGTGTGCTTTTCCAGAACAACGCTTTGCTGCTTCTAAGTGACAGTTCCACCCACCAGCTCAGGTAAGCGAAGGAATAAGAATCCATTTTACTCATAAATGTTGAGCAACTCTTTCATTTAAAAAAAAAAAAAGGCTTAATTTCATCAAGAATTATTTTCTGAAGCGCTGGTTGCCACTTGTCGAATCTAAGCCTCTAATTTGACCATTATTCCAGGTTCCATCTTTGGAGGATGTACTCAGTCCACGCCCAGAAACCTTATCAGCACAATCAAACCAGGTAAAAAAGAAAAAGAAAAAGAAAACACTATAGGAATATAAATGGTTTTTTTTTAACCACGAAGACTCACAGAAACATTTAAGTCTTCTTTACGTTTTTACAAATAATGATTTGCCAAATTTCTCGATTGCACCTGCAACAAGAGAAACAGACATCAATTCACTTTTCAAGAATTAGGTTCTTGAACTCCAAACAATGGATGAATGTGACCCCGAGAGAAAGTTATGTACAGAGTTGTCATAATTATTCAAGACAGCATTTAAACATAATAAACATTTGGTAGTTTAAGGGCACACTGGCCGTAGAGGTTTATATCTGCTTAAGTGAGCTAATATGCCGGTTAACAAGCTTAAAAGAAAATGTATTATATAAATAAATTAAACTGTTTAAGCGCTTTTTATTGATGTGTTAGACTTTTATGTATAATTTATCAGTTGTATCTATTACTACTTTTACTATCTTAATCTCGTGTGTCTCCCCCAACACTAAACAAAGAGAGTACAGTATTTAAATTTAGACTTTAGGACAGCCTTCCACAGTGTAGTGGCATAAAACCCACAGAGAGTGAGACACTGAACATTTTTCCACTGTTCTTAAATAAAGGACTTGGGTGTTTTTCTGTGTCTCTCTACAGAAGTCTCCCAGTAATGAGCTGCTGGAAGTCTTCTCCGTCAAGATGCAGGATCCTCTGGTTCCTCCCCAAACCTCTTGTGCCAGTCAGCCAGGTGAATAACATTACAGACATTTTTTTTTCTACCTGTTCTGGCCAACAATTATCATGTGGGCAGTGTTTTTTTTTCTTTCCACATGATTTTAGTTGCCTTTACTTTTCCTTTTTTCATGCAACTGCGCTAAAATGCTGTCAGTTTAAAACACATAGTCTGTATATTCTGTATTATAACTTAAATTGTCAAACAAGTCCTGTCTAACTACTATAAAAGGAGAAAAGGGGATTATTTCTAGCTTCATTTAAAACTTCTAGAAACATCTACTTTAGCGTGTTTTGGTTGCAAGACGACTGGTCTGAGAGTTTTGTACTAAATATGCTGTACGTGCTTTGCTTTTTGCCATCATACGTAAAGAATGATTCATGCAAAGATATATCTGAAAGGTTTTTGAGTATTGCATCATGCTATGAAAAAAAACCATCATAAAACCATCAGGCTGCTTTGTCATATATCTATGGAACCATGAGAAAGATTTCAACACCTCTACAGTGTGACACATTCCTCTGTGGTTCAGAAACTGTGTTTGAATCTGAGTAAGATGAATAAAGTCTGTAATGACTTTGCACACAAAACATCTTTTTTTTTTCACAAGGAAGACGATATGTGAGTCTGCAGCAGATTAAAATGAAGCATCTTATCGGACTTTAATTAACACCAGACCTTTGACCTGGATGTCTAAGAGTGTTTTGTTGTGTCCCTATAACATATGCAGTACTTTCCCATGATCTCCCAGTTCATGAGATTCAATATGAACTCTGGTTGGGAATTACATAACTCCCTCTGTGAAGCTGACAAAGAGCAGAGCTTCAGTCACGTTTAGAAATTACATAAAATAACAGAGAAATGTGCAGTTCCCCTCTCAACAAGTTCCCACACTGAAATGTTCAATCAATCACTCTGTCTCTGCCGGCTGATTGTGGAAAATAGAACATTTAAAAAAAATTATGTTAAATATGTACAGCAATAGTAAAGGGGAAAAAAGATTTTGAATGGTCTGGAAAGTGGGCAAAACATGTAAGTCCCCATGAAATCAAAATAGATCTGAAAGTACTTTTTTTTTTCATTGGAAACATTTTAAAATGTTGACAACTCTTTTTGCAGACAAAGGATGACTCATTTTGTATCCAGAAACACACTTCATCATATTTTCCTTATAATGATTGTAAATGACAGAAGGTTAGCAGCTCATCGATGTTGTACCTTTTGATTGTCCTGCTTCATTTCCTGCTGTCCTCTTGGTGCTCTAGCTCCATCAAATGCATTTAAAGCAAACATCTTATGTGCCTTTAAATAACTCATAATTCATGAGGACTTTAAAATGAAGCTGACTAACCACAGCAAATCTGAGCTGAAGATAAAATTACATGTCATTTATGTTCTTCAGTTCCCTCAGAGTCTCCAAAGCCAGCCCTCTCCACCTCTCAGATCCTCTCCATGTTCCCCACACAGCCAGTAGGGGGCTCTCCATACTCCTCCCCCCCATACTCTCCCACCACCATGCCCTGGGGTCAGCAGGGGCCTCTTGGAAATCAGTGGGCAGGACCACCTATGGCACCCTGGCCCACAATGCCTGGGAGTGTGGCAGCGGCATGGGCACCAGTAGCACCCCCTGCTGGTGGGCAGATTCAGGTTCAAGGCTCTCATCCAAGTGTCATGGGGGGCGTAAACTCAGCAGTTTTGCACACTGCAGTAAATGGGCACCCTGTTGCTATAAACTCCCTGTACAACCCCTCAGGAGCAACAGGACCACCCCTGCCAGTGTCTCCAAATTTAGACCAAAATTTCCTCCTCTGACACACTGGTGTGAATAGTAAAATTAAACCTGGGTTTTAGTTAATAGGGGAAAGCGATCATGTCTTTTGATTTAATAGATGAAATAAATGACTGATGAGTTCAAATAGGAGTTAGCTGATATATTTCCCCCCTTTGATATTTATTTTTTCACAACGTACAGCCATTAAATATGACTGGTTCTTGTTGGATGAATTTTGTTGATTCACTTTTAATATGGCGAGAGCATATGATTTGAGTGTTAGTTGTGAGGCCTAATGTCTGTACAAGCCCCTTACCCCTATTAGTACTCTTAAAACAGCAAGAGTGAGACTTTGCTAAAGAAATTAGAATACGTTTTCTGTAACTCACAACAACATTAACAGAAGACAAAGTCAAAGGGCTGCTCATTGGGAACCAAATGTTGGTTCTAAATTAGACGCTGGACTCTTCTTTTTATTAGCATATTCTGTAACCAAATATTTGTCTTTTTAATCAGAAAACTGGAAGATTAATTCATCAAACATATCAGTCAGGGTTATCATTTAAAGCACCCAGGACATATGAGCGATCAACAATCAGTTTTATTGCTTATGTGTTGAACTGATGGGTTAAATCAAATTAAGTTAAATGTTAGAAGTAAATGTTGGATCGCTAATACTGATATTTTTTTCTGCTGCTAACATACTTTGAAGAGATTGTTCTATATTTTGTTTTATCTGACACTTGAAATTACCTTTCCTTCCTGTTTTTGGATGCTACACATTTAATGCAGTTCCTATTTTAAATAAATGACAGCTTATATTCTTCTTCATAGTTTCCCCCAGCTTTGCTCATATACTGAGCTTACATAATAAATCATATATCATAAAAGGGTGCTTATTAAGCTTTTCTTTGTTTTGTTTTTCTTCAGACTACACTGCATCACTTCTTTTTTATAGATGTCATTCTGCTGCGTAGAGAAGAAAAAAATGCATAACCACGCGTTGCCAGAAAGACAAAAGAAACCGATAACATTGCTTTACTTGAAATGTATTCACATTGCAACAAATACACAGAAAATGTGACCTTCTAAGAACAAATAAAACATTCTTGCATGCAGCATGTTGATGTTCCTCTCGTGTTAATCCCATCTTGTGTCACTCTGTTGCCCACGCTGTGTTGCTGAGCATTTCCTCATTTGCAGTAAGTAAAGTACCACAGGACATGGAGGTGTCTCTGCCGCAGCGTGAGCCTGGATACTGATTCATTGTCAGACATGGAGCACTTGATCTGTTGCTAAAACATCACAAAGGGAAATATGGTAAGATAATTCATAATTTTATTTTAGAGTTTGTTTTAAAATGTATCCATCAATAGAGAGATTATTAACTCCTCTTCAACAACTTTCACACACCTCTTTGTGTGTTTGCTGTTTGATTTGGACTATTCCATCCTGACCATCAAAACTTCTATGAATTACCCAATAGATTGAATGATTTCAGTATGGTTGAAACCTCAGTTTCAGTCCGTCTTCTACTTAAAGCTGATTCAAACTTTTAACCCGGTTTACATGTCCGATCCATTATTAAAAGACGCATTAGACAACAAAAGTTAAGGATGATTTAATTATTTACAGTTTTTTCCTGTACTGTATCTCTAACTCATTCAGTAAAAGGGGAAGTTGGATTTTGAGAAAGGAAAAAGAACTGTTAATGTGGATGAAAGAAAGCTTTATTACAGCTCTCACTGGTTAATGATTCACAGTGTGCTCAGCAACATTTTACTGCTACTTTTATATCTTCCTATTTTACTTTACTCCTCTTGCTTGCACACATTACCTGTATTTTTAGTCTGGTTTTACAGAAGAAACGACAAGTTATGGTTGTTTTTAAATTGTAAAGGATTCTGTATTTCTTCTAGGTTTCAAACATATGTGCGTAGACAAAGATTTCTTTAGTTTTCATGACTCTGAAACTTCAATAAAAACAGACTTAGTTGTTGAACAATTAAAAAGTGATGTAATTGTAAAATTGTTGTAAAGCCATTATTTCAATCAATCAGCAACTTAAAAAGTCAGTTTTCTAAAGCAGAAACTTGCTAATAACATAATATATGAAAAAGACTAGCACTATTTATGTTTGATCAAACTTTGTATAACACGTTTCTAACATATTGACATTAAAATACAGATAATAATTAGACATTTGACTCTGTGATGAGTCTTGAAATGGTTATTCAAACTATTGTGTGTGTGTGTGTGTGTGTGTGTGTGTGTGTGTGTGTGTGTGTGTGTGTGTGTGTGTGTGTGTGTGTGTGTGTGTGTGTGTGTGTGTGTGTATACACACGGATAGATGGATGCACACCAAGTTTTATCTCAGGCTGACTTGTGTCAGCCCGTGTGCGTGTTTTGTGGTGTAAAGAGAAAATGTTTTGGTCTATTTCCTTCGTCTGTGCAGCAAGCAGAGCTTGCAGCTTATTGGTGCAGAAGTTACAGCGGGGACAGTGTTTCTATGGTAACCAGCCAAAGTAGAGAGGTGTGTGGTTGTAATAACTTCCTGCTCTTCTTTGCAACCTCTCATAACTTTAGGTGTGCAGAAAAAAAGATGATCATAATTAACCTGTCCCTATTTTTGTAGACATTTAGTACGATGACTGCTCCTTAAATATAACTGCACTTGTTTACTTTTTTACCTGGCTAATTAAAAAACCATTACTCTATTCAAACAGTTTTCTAACTCTGCCTTTTGAAGCTAAGTTTCATCAATGACACAATTTCTGCCTGTGGACGACATAGCTCCATTTAAAATAAATGGTTCCCTATTAACACTGTGTTCCTTCTTTGAGTTTGGTACATCTATGACATAATCTAACCCAAAATAAAATCACAACCTCAAGTTAAAACACACAGTTAACATAATATATTAGTGTGTCAATCAAACCTGAACAACATTATTTTTGTAGAAGAAGAACTTAAAATCAGAACTTTAAATCACATTGGATTAGATCTAGTTCTTTAAGTTAATCTAAAGTGGGTCTGTTTGAGTGAGTGTGTTTTAGAAATGCTGACATGATGGTCATCCTCTCACAGATACAGAGCAGAGCTCCTCCTAGCTGCAATTTGGTACAGTTACAGCCTAATTGATTCACGCAAGTATGATACTGTATATGACACAGGAAATAACTTTTGAACATCAAGTTTGATAACAGAAAATAAAGAGAAAGTCATCAGTGTTTGAACACAAGCCGAAAGAAGATAAGTTCCTTAAAAAAATAAAGTTAGTTCCACTATGAAAGAAGATTAATAAGAAAAGGTTAAAGGTCTTTCAAGGGCACACAGAAAATCAAATCAAATCAAGTTATTTGTCTAGCACATTTATAAAAACAGCTTCATCTGACCAAAGTGCTTTACAGGCAATGCGTAATAAAAAATTAATACATATACATACATATATATATACATATACATGTACATACATGTACATATATATACACGTAATACACGCACACAAACATATATATATGCATATACATATATACATGCAGCATACATACATATCACAAACACATATATACCCTCATACCTACATGCAAATGCATACATACAGATACATACCAAAGCTCAATATTTGGGGTCTGTTTCAACTTGTTGTAAATGCCAGGGAAAAGAGGCGAGTTTTGAGTTTTGATTTGAATGGATTTAACGAGTTGATTTGTCTGATGGAGGGAGGCAGTTGATTCCACAGACGGGGGGCCAGCCACTGAGAAGGCACGGTCACCTCTGAGTTTTCGTTGAGTTCGAGGGACTACAAAGAGCGACTGTTCAGAGGACCTCAGTGGGCGTGATGGGGTGTAGGGGGTTACAAGTTATGTCAAATACGGGGGGGCTAGACCATGCAGTGACTTAAAAGCAAGTAATAGAATTTTAAAATAGACTCTAGGCTCTACAGGGAGCCAGTGAAGGGAGGCGAGTACAGGGGTGATGTGCTTTTGCTTGCGTGTACCTGTTAAAAATCTTGCAGCGGCGTTCTGGACGTACTGTATATGTGAGAGGGACGACTGACTGACTCCCATATAGAGGGAGTTGCAGTAGTCAAGGCGGGACATAATAAAAGCATGATTACGTTTTTCTAAATCTTGGAAACATAATAAAGGTTTTACTTTTGTTAAGTAGTTGGAAAAAGCAGCCTTTAACAACTGAGTTGATTTGTGTGTCATATTTAAGGGTTGAATCAGAAGTACCTCGGTTTTTTGTTCATTTAGTTTTAAGAAGTTTAGTGCCATCTAGTCTTTAATTTCTTTGAAGCAGTTGAGTAGTCGTTGCAGGGAGTGTGGATTAGTGTTTTTGAGCGGAAGATATAATTGTGTGTCATCCGCAAAGCAGTGGAAGGATAGACCGCGCTTCCTTATAAGGGCATCCAGCGGCAGCATGTATAAGGAAAATAATAGAGGCGATAGGACTGAGCCCTGGGGTACCCCACAGGTGAGGTTGGCTGAGAGGGAGACGGTATTTCTAAGGCATACTTTGAAACTTCTGTTTTCCAGGTAGGATTTGAACATATTTAGGGCTTGCCCCTGGATCCCAACCCAGTCCTTTAATCTGGTGATTAGTAGGCTGGGGTCAACCGTGTCAAATGTAACAAGACTTTTAAAAAAATGGAAATTAAAACATTAAATAAAAACTATAGTGAAGATAACACATCAAACATTTGTAGGATACAAAACTCGCCCTCATGAAATAGGTTATACCCTCCTCTGTGAGTAACCTGAAAATCATGACTGTTTAGTTTGCATATTATGGCCATAAAACAAAAGATGCAACTAAGACAACCATTACATTTCAAATCCCTGAAACTGCAACCAACCTTTCAAATCAAGGTTGTATCTGTTCCAAGGCAAGAAAATTCTCAATAATTGATACCAACTAAAGTAAAAGTGAGATTAAAGCCTGAACAGGTCTTTATGTAAGTTTAAATAGCAACCTGCTCTAGTGATGCACCTGGTCATTATGCTGTAAAAACGTGTGAAAAACGATTTTCTTCACATTTTCTTTGTCACTATTAGATGTGTGCATGTTTAAGTGCCATGGCAAGGCGGCTCAGTTGGTAGAGTTAACCCCAAGTTGCTCTCACTGCTTTGTCGGAGTTGTGTGAATCTACATGAATTAATACTGATGGTCACTTTTCAGAGCAGCCTTTGCCATCAGTGTGTGAATGGGTAGGTGTGACCTGCGGTGCAAAAGCACTTTGAGTAGTCAGAAGACTAGAAAAGCCCGATACGAGCTCAAGTCCATTTAGCAGTACGAGACTAATACTTACTTTGCCTTGAAGTAATTCCAATTGCAGTGAGTATTGTAAGTGGGCCTATCGAAAAGGGTGCACTAGATTGGGAGATGGGTACAATTCATCACCAGACATTAGTCAACCCATGCAGTCACAACAAATAAGTCCTCACCTATGAGTCTGGTTCTGCATGCGGTTTCTGTCCGTTAAAGGAACCTTTTCCTTGTCCCTGGTGGATTCTTGTTGGGTCTCTATCAAAAATATGATTAAGATAATGGTCAAGATTAAAAATGTCATGAGATAACATTTTGGTTTTATCAATATGAATGATTTGATAAAAATCCTGAATTAAACTATTGTTTTTAATAAATTGATTTAATCCATGATAATTCTTAAATTATCATTCTTAAATTAAATCTTAGCAGACTGTTTAGCAGAGAAATTATTTTACTGCTTTGGTTTAAGCAATAATCTCTCTCTTCAAACGGCACTTTTGAAAGCTTTTCCTTTTGCACAGAGAGTTTTCAGTTCTGTGGAGATCAAACAGGCAGGAAGCTGTTGTTGCAGTGTGAGTTCTCACTTTGTAAGGATAAGGGTTTGTCGAGCTCTCTGTGAGCGTGGGGGGCATGCCTTGCTGTGCTGCTAACTTCCTGCTTTAGAAACAGAGCTGCTTCACTTTCAGAGTTTGTGTTCCTGTGTTGTTGTCAGGGGGAGAGCATCGATGTGAAGGCTCTGAGGGCCCGCTTCAACAACAAGGCCAGCACCTCGGACACCAGCAGCCGAGACAGCGGCTCCCCAAAGTCCCCAAGACCAGGGTTTGGGAGATCAGTTTTGCCAATGACTGAGAACAATCTGTCAAATCACAGACTGTCCCCTACGGTTCCTCCACCAATAGCTGGCCCTGGCCTGGGGAGGTTACCCGGGACAGAACAAATAGTTCCACCCAGACCTGCTTTCTCCCCTCGACCATCTACCAGTCCTGGAGTCAGAGGAGCAATCCAGCCGTCAGACACCAGTTGTGTCAAGCAGACTGGCGAGATGCTACAGAACATGATGCTGAGGCACCAGAGACCTCCAGCAGCCAAGCCAGGACCAGTTCCTGCACCAGCACCTCAGGCTACTGCACCTGCTCATACCTCTATCCCTCCACCGCGCCAACAGCCGCCCCGGCAGAGGAGCACCGGGGAAGTGACCCCACTGAGAAGGCCCCTGCCCCCTGAAGGACCCCTGCCGCTAAAACCCAGACGGCCCCCAAATGTTAACCTGGAGCCCTTTAGGAGGTCAAACCGAGGACCGGTCCTTCATACACCGAGAAAACAGGAGAGTAAGTCTCAAGGTCTTTTTTACGATTGATGAATTGCAATCAAATTGAGATAATCTGGACTTTGACGATGTAAAATTTGAATACCTGGTTTAAAATTTGTGAAAAATTGGATGGTTGCAGTCTTTCTCATCATGAAAAGCAGATATTCAAGGCTCATTCTATTTGACATAGAAAATGTAGTATATTTATCAATATCTCAAATGAGAAAATAAGTTACAATTCCTTCTCACAGGGTATGTTTTTGACTTGTCACAGTAGAGGGAAAAAACGTTTTTTACCTGCTTCCGCTCCATGTTAATGCTCTTGCTCATGCCATCACATTATCAAGGCTTTATGGGATATTTAAACATAACAAAAGACTCTTTAAAGTTAAAAGTAATACCTGTGCTTTTCCAAATATGACTAATTAGACTGTCTGCTCTGCAAAGGTCTTCACAGAAGGTATATACTGTTGTACTTTCCTGCATAACATGGTTTTACGAAGCCCCCTTTTAAAGAGAATTAACACCAGGTTCTGTTTTCATCTTTATTTGTTTTGTTTTTTTAACAAGGATGAAATTTTCAATGGAAAACTTAGTCCATTTTTAAATTAATAGATGATTAAATCTAAATAATGCTCTTAGAGAATAACATAGTAGAAGTCGGCATTTATACACATCACAATATTTTTTTAATTCAATCTCGTAATAAATAAGAAAACATTGTTTAAAAAAAGACATCATTGTGATACAGTGTCCTTATAGAAATGTGGTTATGAAAGGCAGTGAATATTTGTCGTTAATGTTACTGTCTAGTCATGTTGGTGAGGTATTCGCATTGGTTGATGGTTTTTCCGTCTTATTTTCGGTACATTTCTCTTAATGAAGACATTTTCTCTGATTCTCTCCCACTAGGTTCTCTGCTCTCAGAGGCCAAGAGGATTTCTTTACCTGCAATACCCAATGTTCCACAGCCACCTCAAAGATCCAACAAACCCAGCAGGCTACCGCACCAAGTTGCCTCCATGTGAGTTATTTACGCCATTACTGGATACATAGCAGCACATGAGCATTAACTCTGGGGTTGTTTATAAAGAAAAATATTAGATTTAGTGTTGCACATATTCAAGAGCAGATCATTACGGTAATTAAAAAAAAGACTGACAATAAAATCTGACTCGTGTTTCCTTCACTTATCATGGTGTAAAGATGGCAAACAGGAAATTGTGTAAGAAATGACTTTCCAGGAAATTGACAACAGTCATCAGCCAAACATTAGCAACACACTTTAAGAGGAATAAATCATATCAGAGATTTAATATCTGTTAAGTAAAGTAAAGCAGAAGGTTTTTGCAGCATCAAGGTGTTGAGCTTTGTCACATACTGGTTACCTTCAAGAAATCGCTAAACACTCACCTCTACAACCACTAACAAATTCTATTCTATTCTATTTTCATCCTACTTCTCTTACATTATTTATTCGTTGCATTGTTTTCACTGTTTTGTTGTTATTCTTTGTTTAGCATCTTTGAGTACTTAGAAAGGCGCTATAAAAGTCTAATGCATTATTATTATGATTATTATTATTAACATTAAAAAACAAACTAAGTGGGTAGAGAAGTAAATCAGATGATCAAAAAGGTGATTACAGGTCTACATTTTCAACGTCGCTTGAACTGAGATTCCAGTCGAATGATAATGTGGCTCCCTATCTATTAGTAAATTAATTACATTTTGTTTATTTCATGACAGTGACATTCAGGACACTTATGATGACGTTGCAAGCTTTGAGAAAAGTGGTATGTATACCAGCTTGTTTATCATTGCATTACAGCAGCTTTGTTTGCTCTTGTAGTTCTTGTGCCAATTTTTTTAAATATAAAGTGGACCGTTATGAATTGTCATTTCCATCAATAGGCCTATAATCAAGTATGTTGTAAGAGAATGTGTCACTATTTTCTATTACAAAGGGAAAAAAGCTTGTAATGTCTGTGTGTTGTCTGACTCCACAGAGTCCTGGAGTGACAACAGTTCACAGTGTTTGGATGGGGTAAGGACAAAACAAATGATATATATATATATATAACTCTTTAGAGTGAAAGCTATACATTTTAAGGATATAAAACCTTGTGTCTCCTCTTGTAACAACATGTTGCACTCTTGCCTAAAACCAAATTTAGAAACTTTAGCTCTTGTCAATATTGCTGGCACTTTCATTGGTCAGACAAATTACATTCAGGCTTTTTTAAAATTCAGTATTGTTTTTAAATAATAATTTCACTTTCTGTCCACGGATGACATCTGCCTTTTAATTGGCAATTCCCTTTGTCCTTTTATGTACAATAAGGTTTTTCTCTTTGTCTAAAGTGTAATAACAACTTTATTCTTTTTGTAGGACGATGATGAAGTGTATGAATCTATTGATGAGTAAGTACAGTCTTTTTGCCTAAACAATGAACCCAAAGTGTCTGCTTATGTTCTCAGTTCTAGTGGCTATAGATAAACGGTGGCTGCAGCCGCATCAACGCAAGGGAGAACATTATTTCTGTTTCTGCTAATGTTATTTTTGAAGCTATACAACTAGTATAAAGGCAGCTGCAGAAACCACTTCTACACCATCTTTGATGCTGTTCTTGTAGAAGTACTCAAGGTGCTTTCTGTATGTGGAGAATCTTTATGGCAGTGCGGACATGCTCAGTGTCCAGTACAAAAAAAGTATACTTTATTTCCAGGGACAGAAATAACTTTCCTTTAGAACTGAAAGAGAAAGAGAAGGAGCACCGATAGCCTAGCAGTTATGTTGTGTGCCCCATGTACAGAGGCTATAGTCCTAGTCACAGTGTCCCTTAGTTAGAATCTGACCTCTGCCCTTTGCTGCATGTCATCCCTCCACTCTTTCCAATGTTTCCTGTCTCTCTTCAGCTGTCCCATCCAAGAAAGGCAAAAAGGCCCAAAAATAACTTTAAAAAAAGGAAAGAGCAAGAGAGAATCTGTTGTGTGATCTGGTCCTGTTGACCGCTGTGCCAGGGGCAGCTACCCATATAAGGAGACTTGTGACTTTTTGACCCCAAAAAAATCAAAGAGTAGAAGAAACCGATTGTATCCTGAAGTTAATAGCAGTCTGCGTAATTTTCAATCCTTCTGCTCAATTATAGGGATCAGGTGGAGGTTAATCTGGCAAATGCTAAGAAGAAAAACAAAAAAGAAGAAAAAAGGCAACGGGAGCAGGAGAAGAAAGAACAGACAGAGCGTCGGAAAAAAGAAAATGAGTTGAGAAAAAACTTTCAGGTAAATATGAAGCATTTATTTGCTCTAAAATGATCTTGTGTTTTACCCTTTACTTCTATGTCACTCCGTTAAATAGCATCTCCTTTGTATGAAGTTAGATTATTCTGTTTTTGTTAGCGAATAAAAGAAAGGTATAGAAAATGTATTTTATATATGTAATTAAAACCAGAGTTTCTTCTTTTAACTCGCATTTGCAACTTAGCTTGCATCCAAAAACATTGAGTTTTTTTCAGAACCAGCCACTGACTTCCCATCAATATCACTTTCAATAACTATTCATTGCCAACTTTTAATAGCTCAATTTCTGTTCTGTAGTTGCAAGGGGCGGTGGACATTATTCATACAGCAACTGTCCGGCATGACTGGCATGGAGGAGGTAAACTGGACCTTAATGTACGACAAGGCGAGAGTGTAGAGATTGTCCGAGTTAAGGATAACCCAGGAGGCAAATGGTTAGCTCGCACTCTGAACGGAAACTGTAAGTATATTGTAAATATCAATTAAGCATTTAAAGGAAAACCTTCCTGTCTCCGTCTACCTTTGCTGCATGTTTGGCCTTGGATGTGTTGTGATAATATCCTGCCTTTCAAATGTGTCAACTGAGGTATCAGTACCTTACTAGGTGACAGATAAGTTAGTGTATTTGTTCTCTGTGTTGCCTGATGATCAGCAAGTATCTAGCAGCGTTGTGTGTGAGAGGCATTTGGCAATTATCTTCCTGTAAGATTCCATTTGACTGTATCAAGATACATTTTCAGTTTGCGTGTAAATACATTTGATTCAAAGTAATCCAGATTTATTGCAAATGTTGCACTTTGGAAAAGTTGGCATATTAAGAAACTGTAATTTTTGTTTCTATGTCTTTGGCAAACGAGGTGTGTCTATTCTCATGTATGTATGACAACCAAGTTGAGTTTAGATCTTCAATCTTTGAATACATTTGGTCCGGGTCCTTGCTTTCTCAAAATGAGTATTTCTCCTGCAATTGCTCTGGCTTTACTATCTATATAAACATATTATGTATCCTTTTATGCAGATGATACTTTAGTATGTAAAACCAAAAAAACCTGGTAGCTTGATCTTCCTGGTGCCCACTTCCTTTAGAGGTCACTGCCAATAAATATGTATTAGGGTCAAAATAAGTCACTTGAAAAAGCCCTCTTTTTGAGGGGTGAGTCTCACTTTAGCTCAGGGTTATGTTGGGTTTTCCTGCAAGCTAACTGCTAATATAGGAGGTATATACTGTATATGACAGTTGTAAAACACAACAAAGAAACATCAAGCACCATTCCTAAAAACACATGCAGTTCATATACATTTAATTTATATATGTATATTTAATGCTGCATATTGCTGCATAATTTACATCAGTCTGTGCTCACTCACAACCATCACTTTTAAAACAAATATTTTGTTGTTGTGTTACTTTGCAGACGGATACATTAGTAACACGTGTGTGGATATTGACTATGAGGCAGTGAAGCGGAAATTTCTCAAGAGCAGAAATCCAGAAATGTCATCATTACCACCACCACCTCCAGACCCCCCACTGATGCTCGCTGTGGATTCAAATAACAGGGACAGGTACAGTCATGAGATCGTGTTAATCATGTTGTTTTCTCATTTCTTTGTGGTGATATTATGAAAACAATCTCGTAAGCCAACTTTTCCCATAATTATTATATTAATTTGAGCTTATTATTGATGAACTATACTCTGTGAGTCACCACCTGCTTTCCCATTTTCCCCATGTTTGTTCCAACTAATATGTTTTATTTTTTCTCTAATCTGCAGCATGATCGAAGATGACAGTAAGTCACAACCACACAGAGATATTACTGGAAGATGGGATTTATGTATGATAGAACCTCACCATTTTATTTAAACTCAATCAAAGCTCAAGAGAAACAAAACACTTTCTGCTGTTCATGGAACATTAATACCAGTAGATTGGTTTAATGCATGGTAGAAGCATTAAGAAATTAAATGGACACACTATTCACAATTGCGTATTATGCATCACTAACCATTATTGGATAATTCATTAAATGTCTTTTCTAATTTGAATATTGTTAAAAATGAACAACTTTTATTTGATTTAAAGTAATTTGTAACAGTATCACTTACTAAAGGAGCAAAGTAGTAAATTAGAATACAACATACTGGATACCATCATTTTCTTGTATTTCTCCATTTAAAAAGTTTCTGGGCTAAACATAATGTGTGACATGACATAACTTGTTGTATTATTCTTTTTAATCTAGGAATTTAATAATGCATTTTTAACTGCTATTGTTTGATTATCCCAACAAGTAATATTAACTTGTTTAACTTTACAAGAACACAAGCTCCTTTTGGTTTCACATCTCCTTTTTTTTGTCCTTAGATGACTATGATGATGTTGAAGCAATGTGTGAGGACTTCCCCCCACCACCGCCTGAAGTCAGGTACTCACTCGTATCTTCTTTACACAGAGGGAACTGGAAATTTCCAGTTCAGCTCAAGTGTCAGTGTAATGTTGAGCTTATGTAAAACTGAAAAAGGGAGAAACATAGTATAAGGTAAAATAGAGTATAATATATCTAACATCTTAGAAATTGTCTTGGTGGTTATTTGTAAAGCTACTTTTTGATAAACTGTTTTATCATTGCATTTCTTCCAGCATAGATCCTAGAGTGATTAAGGAACTAAGAAAGAAATTTAAGGTAAATCATTTCCGCTTTCAAACTAGATCATGTGGTTTATTTTAAGTCATTTTAATTTTAGATCAAGCAGTGTGTCAATAGGATTTCCCTGTGAGAGAATATTCTTTATGTTCATGAAGCAATTTAGGTCTGTAAAAATGTAAAGAAGTGAATGAATAGGGCCCAGGATAGTTCCTTGAGGAACTCCACACACTCCCTAAAACTATGAAATGCCTAATATCCACATGAAGTATAAAATATGACATAAAGATTCATCTTTAAGTATCTCTGTAACTGTGTTTTCTTCTCTCTCTTAGTATGAAGGGACGCTCAACGTGCTGCACACCATGATGGTGGATCCTAATAGTGTCATTAAGAAGCCAGGAGCGAATTATCTGCATGTGACTCAGGGAGAAGTTCTGGATGTCATTCAACTCACCAACAGCAAGAAAGCTCTTTGTCGTAACCAGTTTGGAAAATGTATGTAAACACTTGACATCCCCTCTTTAAATATATGTTATTTTAATCTTTGTCATGGGATACTTGATTCCAAGATTTATTTAGCTGCCGTCTTCAGGTACAATCAGTGAACTCCTCCTAAGTTCAGCTGTTCTTTTTTCAGTTTCAGCTGTATTGAAGTAGATCAATGCTAAGTTGCTCATACGTTTCTTTTTGTGTCACACCACAGATGGTTATGTGTCCAGATCTCTTCTTCTTCCAATGTAAGTGGCTCTTCAGAAGTTGTATATGGGAAATTCCTACAAACAACATTTCTTTAATTTCTTTATTTAATCAGAAGATGTATAATCTTAAAGATTTTTAGTTGGAATTATATCTGTTAACTCTCATAAAAGAGTTAAAGATATATATATATGTATATTGTTATATTGTTATGCATATTTACGTAAAAAGAATGAAACAGAAATCTTCATGATTGCTTATAATACAACTTTTCTGAAATTACATTTAATTTGTATGTTGACTGCTCATCTTTGACCTGGGTTGTTAAACAGTGACTTTTATTGCTGTTTTGGCAGTGTTGATTAAGTTTGTATTTTTGTGTGGCTTGTTCAGCTTATTATATAACGCACTGCATGAAGATAACAGAGTATCAGACCATGTACACTTCTTTCACTTTGTTCCATATTTGATTATCATGCATTTTGTTCTCATCCACTGTTAAAGTACAAGAAAAATACTTTGGTAGTTTTGGTTGTAGTCTAGATTAACACAAGAATATCAATAGAAATTAAATTTTAAGCAACAACATTGTTATTCTTTTCCAGGGAAGGGGACATTTATGATGATGTTGACTATGGAGGCGGTGAGTTTTATTTTTAATGATCTGAAAGCTGCTTTATAAATGCCATGCAAAACGTGAATTAGCAATAATGATGTATCATAAGCGGTCATTCTGAAAATATTTGTGTTTGACTTTAAACTTTTCTTCTTCTTGTATTTCAGACATTTATGACAACGACTCTCCTCACGCTAATAATTGAAACATGATCAAGCAATCGCATGGACTGACACAGAGAGGGATAAATGTGAAGAGAAGGAACTAACTTTATCAGAAATAACAATAATAAGCAACATAAAACCATAAATCTAATCATTTGGATGAACATTTTGCCTTATTTCACTTCTCTACTTGTATTTAACTAAACCAGATTTCAAACTGCAAATACAGCAACACTGGCTTACAAACATACTCCTACAAAATAAAATGATAAATACATATGCACATAAGCTTTGCTGAAAATCAAACTTGTCATCATCACACTGTTTGTCAAACTGCTTGTACAGAAAATGAATACACTATACTGTCACTATGTGTAGTGCTTTAACCCTGAGATTTTATCAAATAAATGAAAAAACTTTTTTTTCTGGTCAGTGTATCGTAGTATGAAATATTCTTCTTTTATGAAATAAAATATTGCTTCAACTCCTGGTATTGTTTTTATTTTGTAATGGAGTGATGTCTATGTCTGTCAAGCCACGGTGAAGCAAATGAATTTGTTTTTGTTCCTGCAGCAGAGTCAGAATGTTTTATGGACATGAATTAAATTTCAAACATTTGTGTGCAACATTTTTATTGTGTTTTAAACTGTACAGCACTTTGGTCAACCGAGGTTGTTTTAAATGTGCTATAGTCTATAAGCTTTGACTTGACTTCAAAGTTTATGTTTACATTAAGAGAGGGGTGCATATGCTTGTCAACAGGCAAGGCAGACAACTGCTTGGGGCCCCAGGCCAGTAGGGGGGCCCCAGAGGCCTGACAAACTTTGAACCACAGCAGTGGCTCAAAATGTGCAAAGTTTGCAATGACAGTTGGAAACTTTCCTAAGGAGGACCACATCACTCAGTCTTGTTGTACTGCTGAGCCTGACATGCATTACTATTGTGAAAACCTATCATCTGTCGATGAAAGTAAGCGAAGGAAAATGAAGGTTTTTTTATATCTGATATAATAATAATAATAATAATGTGAACATTTGGCTTTTTTGATGGTGTCAGATTATTTATGACATAATGCTGATTTTGCCCCCCCCCCCTCCCCCCATGGATTTTTTGTCAATGGTCCAAACAGACTGTAGGATCGCCCCTGCATGCTGAACAAAATAGTATGTCAAGTTTACAGTCTGCAGTGGGTGATTTAGCTGATGATCATCATTACCATCATTAGCATAAGGGCTGTTACATGAGCTGTGTAAAAAACATCATTCTTTCTTTTTCAGTGTCATGAAAGTTTATAATAACTGGCCCCTAAATAAATGAAGGTTTACCTTATAAGTCAAAACTAACAGGTAAATGAATATTAAACAAGACTGTGATGTGGTATGGTAAAATAATACTTATACTTATTGGATGACCAGTAGAAGAGGAGAAAAACTATTTTATAAGATTGCAGATATATGCAACACATTTGTAAAGCTTAATTTTATTTATTTACTGGGCAGTTTCTCACAAAAAAAAACATTGCTTCAATGGTAACTTGTACAAAACGATGCTTTGTGATGTGATAAACTTTATTGTTTCTGTGGAGGAAATCATGTGGCTGCACACATGTCGCTGCCTCAACAGTAGGATGTTAGCAAAATAAATTTAAAAAACAATGTAAACAGAGAAGCACATACCAAATCTTTCTTGACAAAAGGAAACATTTTATTTATTTGTTTTCACTGAATATTTACTTTAAAGAAAAAAAAACATGTTTATCTTTTATTAATCTGAGTACTAACAAAAACACATCCGCAAACATTCAAGCAGGTGTTGTTGCTCCAACTAACTTTTTCTGAAGTGTAACATATTGACAATTTTTTAATATCAATATTCTTCAAATAAGTAGCTTTATTTTTAAAGTTAAATACATGAGTGCAAACTTGCCTGAAAGCTTTAAAGCATTTTTATTTTTTAATTCTCAAGTGAACTATTACTCAACTAGACAAACCAATAACCTATACCTACCAATGTGTCGTACATCTCGAGGACAGTACTCAATAAGATACCGTGGAGTCAAATTATGGAACACGCATATTTATTTACTTGATGATGTTTTGTCTTTTTCTAGATACAAATCGAGACTCAGAAATGCGTTGATGTCAGAAAGATTTGTAGTGAATAGTGAATTGTCCTGATTTTGTTATATTGTCTACATACTGTATCTCCTGTTTGCTCTATTTTTTATGTTTTCAAAGTTTGTATGTAATTTTCAATTGGGTAAATATTATTTGTGACAGTAAATATTCTTACTTTGTTTTTTGTTTTTTTTTACTGTATTTTATTTTAACTTTGTTTAATCTCTTAAGGTGAGGTTTTGAGATAAGCCCTCATGGGTTTCTACCTCACCTGCACATGTGTTTTATTTTATTTTTGTATTTTTTGTTTGATTCTTCTTTCAAAAAATGTGCAAATAAACTAAACTAGACTAAACTAAGCCCACATGACATCGCTGCCTCCGTATCTGTGATCGTCTACTTGAGTCTGTTTGAGCTACTTCCTGATTCAAAGTCCAGCTGAGAACTTGTAGCGATAACAGTGAACATTGGAGATGTTTTTGCAGGAGCTTCATAGATCAGTGTTTATTGGTTGTCCTGGGCCGTGAGAGAGCAGGGAGACATGCAGCAGTCTGTGGAGGCTCTGGTGCGCGTGCTGGAGACCTACAGAGGAAGAGATAAAATTGTAAGTCGACTAATCATATGTGAATGAGAAGAAATGCAAATAAACAACTAACTCCTCTGCGCAGGGTTATGTGCTTCATATAACGTTGAGACTGACAACACTTGAGAGTTTACACATCTTCTACTGACCTTTAGTCACACGTCAATAAACCCTTAAGAAAGGAAGGCTCATAAGTGTGAACACGAAATTAAATTAAAGTTCTGAATACAAATACAGTGAAACAATGCATTTTAGTGTTTCTGTGTCATGCCTGTATGTATAATTGAATATTCAATATATAGTGAAGTAACCACTTGTAGACAACAACATCAACAGCAGCATTACTTTAATAATCAAAAGACTACTTTGGTTATTTTTAAGGCAAAACTGTGATATTGTTCTAGTTTTTGGGTTTGTTTTTCTTCTTATTTACACTGGATGTCGAGCTTGCTGGCTGCAAACAAATCTACCAACGGGTACAAATAAAGTCACCTGAACCTGAAGTATACTGTTCATATAGTGTTTGGACAAAAATAAAGCTACTTCAAGCTGACATTCACAAAAATAATAAAAGTTTCAATGCTGGTTGCTTGCCTGTAACAGAAGATACATTGATCACCTTCAGCATCCCTGAGTTCTGCAGTTAAAAATGTTATTTCTAAAGCCATTAAAAAAAAAATGTGTATCTCAAGATTTTAAATGAATTTCTTCACAGAGGATAACTTTCCAAATGCATTTTCCTCAACCTGGTTTGTCAACCTTTTCTATAATAGCTTCTAACTGATGAATAAAGCCAACATGAATCGTCATCAATCACAACAATGCACTAGGGAGCAAAATGGTTAAGTTATGTTGTAGTGTCACTTTAATGTTGTTGATTTTTTTTCATGGTTATTACTTTTTTTGTGTGTGTGCCAGAAATGAATTTGGATAAACATACAAATAGTAAGACTGACGTGCTGTGCTTAATTTCAAAAGATGATTGTAGGGAATAAAACTTATTTGTAAATACCCAGAAACTTCTCCACTTTTTAATCCCCCTGGTGTTTTTCTTCCTGTGTTTATCGCCGCAGATCAGGACGGTGTGTTATGGTTCCCAGCTGGTTGGAGGAGTTATTTCCCGTAAAGCAGAGTCAGACATTTCATCCCAGCGGCTCGGGAAAAGTCTTCTGCTGTTTTCAGCTCAGCTCAGCCAATGCAGGACGGTGCTGAGGCTGTTCGATGATCTCTCCATGCTTGCCTACTCTCATGGTTATGGGTTTGGAGGCACGGTAAGAAACAACAACAATGTGCTCTATCATTCTCTATAATTCAGTATAAGAACGATGGTTTAGCTTTTAAATGGTAGCAGAGGTTTTTTGTCCGTCATCTAACAAAAGCTGTATCAGATTTTGTATTTGCAAGCAGAATTTCAACACTTCAGCCTAACAACACGGCTCTTATGAAGCTTTACTTGTTGTGTTGTCTAAAACTTACAAGATACATTATTGAGTTTTTCTAAATGACAAAATAACGTTTGGTTAGTTTTGTCAAAAACAAAATTCTGAGTGCAAATGACTGAAGTTTTATGTTAGTGCTTGTACAAAGTGGACAAAAAATGTAAATGTCTTGTTTTAAAAACACTTTTGAATACCTTCTCTGTAAAAGAAAGTATGATACTGTGATTTAAAAAGACGCAGTGTCACTGTGTGCTCCGCAGCATCAAAGCATGTTCATTTGTCTTTCAAAGGAGGAGGATTCAGGCGTGCGCTGGATCTCTGTGCTGACTAACTTGGCCGACCAGCTGTATTACCCCTGTGAACACATCGCCTGGGCAGCAGACGCAGAGCTCATCGAAGTGAAGTCTGATAAATGGTGGCTGCTCAGCACGGTGCTGTGGGGAACCTCGCTGCTGCTGGGAATACTCAGGTTTGAGATGATCTGTCCATAAAGAGCAATTCAACTCTGACTGGATACACTGATATCGTGGTCAAATGGAGTGCTGGAATCAAAATCCTCACTTATGTGATGATTAAAATGTGTTTTTACACTTAATTTCTGCACTGATTGTAGGAATAATTCTGGATAGTATCTGAATACAGCGATGTGAGAATTGATGTATTGCAGGACAATCACATTGATGAATCACCACATCTGATAAACTGAGGAGAAAAGTAAATTGCAGGATTAATGCATTAATTCCTCGCAATTTGGGGTCAGTTTCATCCCTTATCACACTCCTTTTCACCACTGTCTTCTGCTTCTTTTATCCCATTGCAAACTTCTTCTTCGGCCAATTAACTTCTGATCAAGCACCGACATAGGTGTCAAGGTGTCATGAAGTAGTGACGCGGTTAAGACAAATATCCAAAGAATGTGTTTAGAGCGTCATTTTTTGTGAGTGTTAGGCACCAATGATTTGATAATTGTATCACAGAGTCAGTACGGTGATATATTGCTGTATTGATATTTTGTCCCACCCCTAAGCGTGCGGACTTGGACGATTCTGCATCGATTCAGAGGCAGAACATAACCGATTGTGGAGCCCTGATTGATGTAGCTTGTTGATCATTTGAATCTTTTCCTCTTTTAGATCTCTCAGAGTTTTACTGCTTCTGAAGAAAAAGCTGAAGAGACAGGAGAGGGACGGAGGAGGGAGCAGGTGATGAATCTTCAGTTTTCCATCATTTATTATTATTATTATTATTATTATTATCATTATCATTATCATTATCATTATCATTATTATTATTATTATCATTATCATTATTATTATTATTCACTATCTAACAGGACATTCAGAACAAGTCGGTGAGACATTTTCTGAAATATGTCATAATGTTCTCATTGTGTTTTTCCTCTGCAGTCACTCTCGGCTGCACAGACAGATGCGAGGGGAGTTGCTCTCTGTCCTTGGCAGCATGGCCGATCTCAGTAATGCTGTTCACTGGATGCCGCCCGGCTTCCTGTGGGCGGGTCGATTTCCCAACTGGCTGGTGGGGCTGATGGGCACCGTCTCGTCCCTGGTTGGTTTGATCCAGATGAGCGGCAGCAGTGACCAGACAGATAGTACATAATCTTTTCCCCACAGTGAACAGTAGATCAGAGGCTTTGATGAGCACTGAACAAATGATGTTGTGGAGGAAATGACTGAGTAAAGGTTTGAAACAGATCCTTAATGTGATCAGAATTTAGGCAGACCTTTGGAAGAGATTTCATTTCAGTGTTCAATCCATTATACACTCAACCGCCTGGGAGTACAATGGCACTAAGTCAGTCAACTTATTAGACTTGTATGATCTATGGCTTGAGCAGATGTGACTGACAGCCTTTTAAAGGACAATCATCTTCTTTTTGTTTAGATTTTTGAAGCATGTTTGTGCATTTTAGTTGTAAAAAAAAATGCACAAGATTGAATGATATTGATCAATCAAAAGGATTATTTTTCTAACAGCTATTTGCTGCAGCATCACATTTCACTAATTCAAGTAATTATAGTGTGTTCAAGAAATGTTTTCAGAAAGTAGGATTCAGGTTCTACATGACAATAGGTCCAGTTGATGTTGTGTAAAGTCACAGGCAGCTCGAGGACTGAATCGTCTCTGTACTTTGTACATAGTGCCACGTACCCTTTGTATACTGAGAGACAGTAAGTGCAGCCAAGACTCCAAAAACAACAGATTCAACTGGGACGACAGCTTCTTTGCTTGAAGAACACAAGACTTTGTTTTCAATATGCAAAGTGGTATGAGCCTCTGTGGCACATAGGTTGATTCTTCAACAGAGCACTGTGCTTGAATAGCTTTCACCTGGTTTAAGTTCAGAGGAGATGCAGAGGGACACCAAACCTCTACTTGTTTAGTCAATCACCTGAGAAGGTGAGTGCACAAGAAGCTGAGAATGTTGAGAATGAGAGCGTTGAGCAACTAAAGCTGTTGATTGGGATTGTGCTGTTGTGATTTTGAGATAAATACAATGACATTGTGGAAGGACTGCTAGTTGATGCCTTAAATACACATACTGAAAGTCCTGATTTTCAAACTTGCATTTTCATATAACGTGATCATAGACTGTAAAGATTAAGAACGTGATTCATGAACTGTGAATTATTCATTTTTACATATTTTGTAATTCTTGGATTGCTCAAGTAAAATTTGATTTCTAACACTCAATCTTTGAAGATTAAACTAGTGTATGTTTAAACTATATTATGTCATAAAGCTGGTGTAACTCTAAATGGTGATAATATAGAGTGATATATGTAAAAAAAAATATCAGCCTAGAGAACACTGACTATTTTTCAGTGGAATCTCGTCTGTGTTTCTATTGAAATTGTCAAGGTGATAATTGGAAGTTCAATCGGATTTATCATGTTATTATAAATGGTATAAGCTGATGATTTTCTAAATAAAGTGAGTTGCCTTTCTTTTCTACGATCATTTTGTTGACGTTTGATTGAGCAGGACTGGGAGGCTCAAAATGACGTATTCAACTGTTGCCTTCAAGTGCTGCCGAACGAATAGTAATTTAAGCCTACAACCCTTTAAAAAAACCAAAAAAAACATCATAAAGGACCCATTGTTAACCCTGCTAAACTTGGTCCAAGTTTCCGTTGTAAATTAATTTTAAACCAACCATTATAAGTATACCTGTATTCAGGTGGTTGAATTCCAAATCAAAATGACTTACAAATACACATTTTCTTTATTTTAGTAAGAGGCCAATTCGTTTTGGGGGTTCGGAAAAGTGTTTTTTACAGGAGTTAATGATCATGTTCTCGGTATAGGCCATAGGCTGTGTAAATAATGTATTTACAGTCTTTAGTTTAGGCTTGCAGCGAAGAAATAAACCAGAGAACGATTACTTACTGGGCGCTACAAAGTGTCCTGAACGCAGCACAGCTTCAGAGTCAGCTAAAAAAAAAAAAAACTATCGAGTTGAGAAGAAACGATGACATGCAGCTCTGCTCTCCATATTAACTTTTATAACCGCATGACTATGTGCAAGTTATTATATTTAACAGTGTCGCTAGTGGTAGTATGACGACTCAAACAAAGCTAAAGTTTAGAAAAAGACTGAAATCCCAAACCACGTCAACTTCTCTGTCGTGGCAGACACAGGAGTCAGTGTGTGGGTACAAAGGAACCGAGAAAGACCTCAAACATCAGGTAAGAACTGCTCGTTTCGCTGCTTTAAAACACACATTCAAACGTAGAAACTACACCGTCTGCTAAGGAGCTCATTGGAGGGTGATGAGGTTTTGAATAAGCTGAATTGGTTAACGTAAAGCTACTTTGAATAGCTATCTTTAGTGGCTAAACGTGGATAAAACGTGAGTCTTGGGTTGGGTGTTTGATTAAACGTGATTGGTTTTCCGAACAGAAAGCCCTCATTTAAATTCCTCTAGCCCTCAATGTCCTATCTTTTGAAGGAGAGGATAAATCTAATTCTGGATATAAAAGCAAGTCGTCTAAATTACAGGCTTCTTTTCAGACCGTTAACGCAACATCCACCCAAGCAGCTGTATTTGTTTCTATTTATACAAACTAAAGCAAGAAAAGGGGATTTTATTTTTATTTTTAAATCCTCACTTTCCTCATGAATTATTTATATAACCAATTATTATCAGATTTGCGTGATTAGTAAAATTATTTTGTAAACATTTTAATTGTGACTGCTTTCATACAGATGATCACAATTTTCAAAAACAGCAGCTTTTTGAATGATTTATCTTGCGCACTTATTTCTTGCGCAGTTATTTCGATGCGCATTATTTTGTTATTATTAAATTATTTGTCATGGTAACCGAATTACTGGTGTTGATAATGTAATGGTCTCTAGAAGTGTACATGATGGGTAATAATGACACATGTTCATGCACTTTGTACATGTCACGTCGGTCAAGGTGCAATGAGGACAAGAAACTATATGATTGAACTTGAGATAATGCAACCTTTAACTAACAGTGTCTGTTTTCTCAAAAGATAATATGTGTCACAATCGTCTGTCATCAGCAGGTTGTTTTATGCACCACCTCTTGTTTACACAAAGATCCCTTTCTTTAATGTTTAATGTGTGTTGTAATGCCTCTGACAGGCTTTCTTACAAAATGGACTCAGACATCTGCCCTGCTGTTAAGTCAGCCTCAAACACCTTGTGTCCCGCTGCTGATCCGGCTGAGCTACTCTCCGGTGTTGAGTTCAGCAGACAGACTGTGGCAGCAAGTCCAGGTTCAGCGGTGGAGGATCTGGACTCTTACAACCCCATCGAGCCTCCTCCTTTAGACTGGAGATCTGAATCCTCCAGCGAGGCAGGCTCAGCCGATGACTTGGAGGACCCTAATTTCCCTCCTGCTGTTGAAAATCTGGACGAGGCCGGCCAAGGTGAGCCAGTAACACTACCGTCGGGCGTGAGTCGCACTGTGGCTTCTCTCGACATGAGCCAGCATGAGCTTCTGGGAAATATTGTAGAGCTGGTCAAGGATATTAATGTTGAACTTGAAGAAGAGGGTGAAGAAGTGGAGGATGAGGAAGGGGTTGAGGACATGGAGGGTGACAGGGAAAAACAGGAGGGGGAAGCCTTGTGTGATGTGGAGAGCAGAGTCGGTGAAGACGAGGTCGAGGTTGTCAAGAAGAGTTCAGGTGATGAAGACCACAGCCGCATTCACAGCCTGCTCAGCCAGCTCCAAATGATGGGTGAAGAGCCTCACTCCAGCCAGAGAACAGCACCTCACCTCAGCCAGCATCACTACTCCAGCCGGTCTGAGCATGAAGTGTGTGCGCCCTCCCTGAAAACAGATGACAGCAGTGAGACCACTGGGCTCCTGTTCTCTGAGAGCCACCACAGAGACCTGCTGGGGCTGCTGCAAGTCACAGAGATCGGCGCGACACCCGCTCCAAACCGCGTGCCCATCAGAGGGGAGGTCGACGCCGTTGTGTCCGTTTCCTACAACCAGGAGGACACACCAAGGTTTTGGCGGCATTATGGGAACGGTCAACAGCAGCGGCACAGGGAGGACTCCCTCGCCTCCTTACCTGATGATGAGTACCCTGAACCAGTGTGGATGAAGCTGGGCGAGGAGCCTCCAGACGAAGAAGAAGAAGCTGCTGCAGAGAGTGAGCAGGTGAGCTGATGTACTTTCTTTCTTTTCTTTTTTTGCTGAAACTAGCAGATATATTTGTTCGATTTCACACAGAAGACCCTAGTCCTCATGTGACTCGTGCATTTTAGTTATTTTTTAAACATTTATTTTAGTTATTTTTTTAACTTAAAGTTAGTGTAAAGTTTCATTATATAGAATAAAATAAAGTAGATGAATCGCTTTCATATTTCATCTGAGCTGTTTAAAATTTGATAACTTTTAAGTGTCATCTTACAAATATTTTAGTTTGATTGTTTGTAGCTTTTTTTTCTCAGATAGAAAATGTCCAGATTTTCTACTTCTATTACAAACTGTTACAAAAGTTACAAAAAGCAAATGTTTTGTCTCTGTCTGTTCAGCCGCCAAAACAAAACTAAAGACTGTCATTTTTTAGTTCTGTTTTCTCAAGAAAAGAACGAGCAATACAAAGCAAAGATTGGTCTTTTGAAGTTGCTGAGTAAGCTTTAAAAACTCTTTGAAATGTCTTTTAATTAACCAAACACTAATCAAACCTAATTCCTTTTTTTCCCTTGTGATTGCAGAGTGATGATCAACCGTCATATAAAGACGGTAAGTCACTTCGTCATACTTGTTGTTTTTGTTGAACTGCAGCTCGTCTAAATGTAATGCGTTGGAGTCATTGTCTGTGTGTTTGACTCTTCAGTGCCTGGTCCATGTGACCCGGATGACCTGTTGGATGGAGTCGTGTTTGGTGCAAAGTACCTCGGTTCCACTCAGCTCAGATCCGAGAAGAACCCGTCCACAAATGCTCGTATGACCCAGGCTCAGGAGGCCGTGGACCGCATCAAGGTGAAACCACAAAAGATACTCTAACCAATTCAAAAATCAAATCATCAGCCTGTGACATCACGGCTATGCGCTGCCCTGTTTGATGTTGCCGCTGTGTGTTGGATCTTTTATTGTTCTTGTAATGTTTTGAGATCCAGCTTCTTCTTCTTCTTCTTCTTCTTCTTCTATAATACTGACAACAGCTGATATTGATAGTGAAACACGTTTGATATCAGTGTGATTGATGTGTCTTTCAGGCTCCAGAGGGAGAGTCCCAGCCGATGACGGAGGTGGATCTGTTTATCTCTACACAGCGAATCAAAGTGCTCACCGATGATACACAGGTGTGTTTTTCTGATGGCTTAGAAAAGGCTGATTGAATGTTTATACATCATCAGGTTTTGAGAAACTTATCTCTCTCTTTGCTGGAGCATTTATTTTTTCAGTATTAACACCAGGGCTGTGCATCTGGTCTCATGATTCCATTACGATTACCATTATCCTGTCAACGTGTCGATTCGATGTCATGATGCATGACGATGAGTTACATCCTCAATTTTCTGTATGACTGCGCATGGCTTCTTTTTAATCAATGAAGACAAGCAGTCAGTGAAATATGAACTCCCTTTTTCTTCTGTAGAACTAAGATAAATTCTATAGGTCCAGCTGCAGCAGGAAAATCTAAAAGCAATGTCAGAACTCAACAATCGATTATGTTCTGTCACTGCATCGATACAGAATCGGTACACGTCCGCACTGTGATGCATCGTAGAAGTGATTCATTTGAACAGCCCTACACTACAGTAGAGTTCAGTTTGTATGGGTTCCAGGTTGTAGGATGAAACGAAATTAAGAAAACCAATGTGTGAACAATGGACAGCTTTGATCAAGATGTTCCAGTGTCAGATCAAATCATTGAGATGATCTTACTTATTCAGAACTTTTTAGGATTAGTTTTACTTTGTGCGTTGTGGAGAAACTGCTTGATCTGAGGACTTATTAAACAATTTTGAATCACAGTAGTGAATCTTATATTTGAAAGAAACCCTCCAAATGCAGAAATATCTGACATTACAATATATTCCTGATGAAGTGTCTTGACCTGCTTTCTCATCCTGAGCCTGAGTTAAAGATCAAACATGTATTTAGAAGTGGGTTTGAAGGGCACCATTGCACTTCTACATTTTCACTTGTAAGCCCTTTAAGTACGAAGGCTCAATATAGAATTGGGTGGTGATTTAATAACAGTGCTCTGCAGTAATGTTGCAGTCATAGTAGAGGTCTATTTTCCTCCACAGTGTGGTTGAATTGTCAAGAGAGCCAAAGTGGGTCATCTGCTGTCAGCTGCTCCCTCTTTGCATGGATGGATGCTCCTTGTTACACCATGCTTGTGGATATGAAAATAACAAAAGTTCTTTTTGTGTTTTTTCTCCTGCCTTCTGAATTCAGCTTCTTTTGCAGCTGATCATTGCAGAACTTCTGGTGGTTGTAATCCAAATGTATTTGATTCCTCACCAATGATAACTCTTCAAATGGTAGATTAGCAAGCAAAAAAAAAAAAGTGACTTAAATAGAAGAAAAGAAAGAGGGGCTGTGCTCTTTGTAAAGCTACAGTATCACTAACTCAAGCAAGTTTCAAGTCGAAGAGAAAGCACAACTTCCTGTTTCTAAAAATAGTAACCCCATTCATGTCTTATTTCCTCTCAGGAGGCCATGATGGATCATGCTCTGCAGATGATCTCTTATATTGCTGACATCGGTGACATTGTTGTCCTGATGGCTCGGAGGAAACGTAAAGGGCAGGATGGCGACTCTTCCTCCGGGTCTCAGAAGAAGTGTTTAATGATCTGCCACGTCTTCTCCTCTGCTGATGTAAGTTGGTCGACAGAAAAGCTGTCAAACTCCTTATTTATGAAATAGTAATCTCTCATGTAGCTCTCATACATTTTGTATCCCAGGATTTTTGTGTCCTGAGGTCACCACTTCATCATTTCAATTGATCTGTTTTTTCCTTGAGCCTTTTACCCCACTAATGAACTCACAATGAAAGACTTTATTAAGGTGTCTATCGCTCCCCTCAGTGTTGCCCTCTGATCAAATGTGCTGTTTGTTTGGGTTGGACAATAGTTTCAGATTTGGCTTGGCCTGGTTTCCGTCCCTCAGACAGCGAGCGAGTTCTCCTGAATGTAAAAGTGGTCTGGCTGTCATCCCAGTTTCCCGCTGTTGGCAAGACTGAATGGGAGAAGCAGGAGGGAGAGTTTCTTTTTTAGAAACTAAGAAGCTGTGGGACACTTAAAGCCATGAGGCCACTGTTTCTACTGCTGTGTTTTTCTCAACTGAAATCTTTTGTGAAACTTTTATTTGTAAAATCAAGTGGGGTTAAAAGACATGCTGAAACAGAAAAAGAAGACTGTGATGAAAGACTTGATTGTCACTAATGTTTTATGCGTGCATTTGAGTGAAAATGGAGCCGGACTTGAATGCAACAAAACAGATAAACCCTGACTCAACGTTTCTCTGTTCCAGGCTCAGACCATAGCCCAGGCCATCGGGCAGGCGTTCGGAGTCGCCTACCAGCAGTTTCTTCAGGCCAATGGAATCAAGTCCAGTGATCTGAGGCCCGGCGAGTACAGTGACTACCTGGAAAGTCAGGAGCTCTACAACGGAGACCTGGCCCACTTCTCGGACTCTCAGAACATCAGAGACGTAAGCTCAGTGATGTCGCTGCATGTCTTTACACAGATGTGATGTCATCTTTGTGTGATTCTTTTATACTCTTTTTTTTGATATCACTGCTTACAGAAGATGTCCTTTAAACATTCATATGTAGCTTTTAAAGAGAAATGAATTACACATCATTATTTTTTTGCCTTGTTGTTGACAGAAACATTATGAGATATATAACATGATACATGATACAGCGATTTCTCCAGATGTGACTCAGAGTTTTAGCTTACAAGGCTTCTCGGCACTCTGACCACTTAGTGTGATGCCAGAATCTTAAAATGCAATATGACACGAGTAAAAATCAATACCTGTTTCTACACCACAGCAAACAAAAAAAACTGTTCTAGGTACTCAATATTGGGTAATTTCTTGTTGTTGATGAACAGAAATGGCAGGGATTTTCAAATCTATACATTTTAAAATACTGATTTAAAAAAAGGGAGATTGTATCGTTTTAAAACATGTGCTATTAAAAAATGTGAAGGTATCGAAAATCTTCACAACCCTACTCACTATTGTGTTTACAGCCTGTTTTTCTCTTTTCATTTTTCGCCTTATTGGGGCAAATTTTCCCACTAATTATCTCATCTTAGACAGCACCTGTGTAGTAACTAATACATCAAAAAAAAAAATGTACAAGATAAGTTTCTCAGTGGTTTTGGTCATTTACTTTAGGTTGCCATCACTAAAGCAGCTGGAGAGATCCTGGGTCTGGCTGTGGTGGAGTCAGGCTGGGGCTCCATCCTGCCCACAGTGGTGGTGGCAAACCTCCTTCACGGAGGTCCCGCTGAACGTTGCGGCGAGCTCAGCATCGGCGACCGCATCGTGTCTGTTAACAGCACGAGCCTGGTGGGTCTGCACATGTCCGCCTGCCAGAACATCATCCGGGTAAGACACATGGAGCGAACATACTATCATGGGGAAAACAACAACAATGACAACAATAATCGAAAGTCTTATTTTTCAAATTGTGGTAATAATAGAACGTCTATATGGGGCTTTATGGTCGCCTCCTGCACAGCAAGTGTACTTTTCTTAGGATACACTAGATGGCACTGTGTCTCTCTCTACATATAATGATGCTGGCAGTCAGATATTTACTGGGTTTTAAAGTACAGATATCATTACTCATCCAGTTGTTTTTGCCACTACTTAAGTGTTTCAAGAGTTTTTCTTACTCTGTAAAGGTAGAGCAGACTCCTTGAAGCACAAACCTGTGTTTGACATCTGTTAGTGCCATCAACTGTGGATATTATTATTGCTAAGTGTAATTCATGAGGCCTTAATTAATCAAATTATTGCAGTGCTTTGCATCAGCACGTTTAGGTCTTCACAGGCAGGATGTAGGGACCGTGGAGGTCTAGATTGCAACCAATTAACAATAAACTTCAGCTAGTGTGCATTGACATCGAAAATTACATTAAAAGTATGTCAAAAACAATATTTAGAACAGGTTCAGAGAGAAATCATTCAAAAGTGATTGCAGGCAGCACATGGTAAAAGAAAGACAAGTGACAGAGACATTACACTCTGAGCTTCATTAATACAGGAGTTATCAAGGACAACAATATTTCCAAAAAAGGTGCATAACTGGTTTTGTTGCACTTTGTTCAGACAGTAACATTCAAGACAAAATAAACAAGGATCAAAGCTTCTAAACTTTGAACAAAACATTAAAAATACTACAACTTTATTGCTCTGATTCAAGTTTTGTTTCGGTTTCAGGACTTAAAAGGCCAAAAGTACGTGAAGCTCAGCATCGTTCACTGCCCACCAGTCACCATGGCGATTATCAGGAGGCCAGATCCCAAGTTTCAGTTAGGCTTCAGTGTGGAGGATGGCATTGTAAGTCAGCCTTTGTAGATCTCTTTTCTTCACCTTCTTTATATGTTGCCTCCCAGCTGTGGCTCACATCTCTTTGTTATGAACATTTCTGGTACAGATCTGCAGTTTAATGCGGGGCGGGATAGCAGAAAGAGGAGGCATCCGTGTTGGGCATCGCATCATTGAAATCAACGGGCAGAGCGTCGTAGCCACACCACACGACAAAATCATCCAGATCCTGACTAATGCTGTCGGCGAGGTGAGACGAGAGCAAATTCTTGCATGCAGAATGAGATTTAGTGTGTCATAAGTACAGTAAAAGTTCTATCCCTCATAGCTTTTTTAAAAAACGTTTTTAAATGGTATAATCAACTTCAAGTTTCGATTTATTTCTTCTCCTTGCAGATTCACTTGAAGACCATGCCATCTTCAACATACCGCCTCTTAACAGGACAAGAGCAGCCGATGTTTCTTTGAGCGCTTTCAGCTGCATTAAGGACAAAAATACTGCACAGTGTTCAAGCTCCCAGAACTTTTGCCAAACTCCGAAAATATTATGCAACTGATCATACAGCTTGTAGAAAGCTGTTGTCACACCACTGAATAAAACAAGCTAGTCTAGCTATATATTTTTATGATGTAAAGTTCATTGGAATATCATGAAAGCATATTTTTAAGTGTCAGGGACGGATGGTAGCTTTGCTGAGCTAGCTGAGATGCAATAATTCATAAAAACATATTTTTAACGTGTATGACTTTTACAAGTACTAGGTATACTGTAATCTATAGAGCTTTTCGTCTTCCAGCCTGGTGTGTCCATTGTGCCTGAGTTGAACTTGCTTGCAGGGGGAATCAAATCAATATCTCACTCATTGGGATGTACTTCCAGTCCTTCACGTACACATGCAGGTCCGTGCGCCGGTTCATTTCGATAATGCTTCCCTGACTGTGCCTGACAGGAAGCAGATATTATGCACACTTGAAGGTAACTGCCTTATTTGATGGAGAGATACATATATTTTTAAGAATTTTCTGTTTTCATTGTTCATTAAAATGACCTGTAAGATATCCTATGGATGTTATTTATTGAGAGTCTGTGGTCGCTGAATTATTTCAGATGCAAAGTTGTTTTTATATAGGCAATATATAAATTGAAATGACTTTTTAAAACAAAGTGACATCCCTTCAATGACTGTGCTTGGGCTGCTGTGTATTAAAATTTGAACAGCTGATTGAATCTTGTTTTCTTTTTCAGTATATGTAATAGAAAAACTTGAATGTAGCACATCAATTGAAAGAAAATGTGTGTCATAAATGCAAATGAAACGTAAACTATATATATATATATATATATATACAGTTATTTTAAGTCGTTACAGATCTATAGTGTATTTACATTATGCTTTTGCTAATAAAGTAATGGTAATGCCTTGTTCTATATGCATAGTCATTATTACACTTTCTATAGCGCTGTATACATACACTGTTACACATCTTGGCTCTGTTCAAGCCTGCCCAATCAGCTGTCTACGATTACCAAAACATAGGGGAAAAGAGCCAATCATATCCTTTACCGGCTACTGTGACCCCACCCTTGCAATATACTTTGCCCAATCAGCGTGGCCGGTGGGTGGGACTTAGCGCCAGATCACACTTGCTGTTACAAACGGGAAATGATGAGTCAATGACAAGCTACCGGCGGCTGTGTGTCCGATAGACCGAAGGGGACTTTATCACCTGTAATACTGAAAGGTAATCATTAACAGGAGTTTGAAGAGTGTTTAGCGCTCACCACGTTGTACGTTTTATTGCATGATGGTAATTTTATACCAGAAACAGCATCAGCAACATGCTAGTAGGAAGAGGAAGCTAGTGGGACTTTTCCACTTTCCCTGCAAAGCTTCACGTTAGATAATTATTTTAATGTAATATTTGTAATGTGAGAGTCAAAGAGTGACCTAAACTTTTTTATTGTCTGAGCTTAAACAATCAAAATGTAGACATAATTTACTCTGCATTTTCTTTGAATAAGCTGAGACCCACATTACATACTGAATGCATTTATATATTGTAAAACATTTAATAGTGTTAGTTTGTTATGTTTTTATTTGATAAAATGTAAACATGTAATTACATTTATGAAGTTCTTCCGTTATATTAGCTTGCTGCAAGAAGAGACCAATACATAAGATATGAATTATTAAGTGTTTACAGGATAAAGCTTTAAAAGTTCTAATGGATTTTAACCTGGTAAAGTTATAAAAAATGTTACATGTAGATTTATACTGAAAATACAGTAATCTGACCTGTGTCCTATACTTGATCTTGCACATGCACTGGCTTGAAATGTAAACAAATGAGAGCAAAATGGCCTGATCTTATCTTTATACAGATTTGCAACAGATTATTTACTCCAGCCACGAACACGAAGAAGAGAAGAAACTCTGGAGTCATTCACAGGGCAAAACTAAACGTTAACGTCTCAGAAAGAAACAGGTAAGCTGTAAGGATCAGGAGGATTTCAGGATGAAGCAAGGGATTGTCTGCCTTTAGCAGATTACAGCAGGCAACATTAGACAACATCTACCCACGATACATATAAAACCAGCCTGTTGGATCAGTCATATGCAGATTTGTTTACATTGTTTTGTGTGTCTTAGGTGAGGGCATACAGGTGAAAAGTTAAAATATAAGATTGTAGGCCGTCGAGGATTCAGGATTCAACTGTCCTCTGCAAGGTGAAGGGTCAGGCACGGTGTCACTCAGTCGTCACTTTTGATAATCTTCATTCTTAAGACAATTTACAGCATTTTAAGGAGCAGCACACAATATTATTTTTATTTTTAAAACATCTAACTACATTTTCAGGCAGTAAAAATACTCAAGTAATTTAAATCTCGCTGGTCCATTTTCTGATTAAAATAAAAAGAGCAGACTTATGTTCGAGATAACGGACCGACGGTGAAATACTGCTATGACTTCCTACTCCACTGAAATAAATCAGTTAGTGCCATTATTTTTACGTTGTGCAGAACCTCTCTGTTCAAAGTTAAAGAAAGTCCAAAGAAAACACATAACCCGTAGAACAGTTTGAAAAGGCATTAGACTCTACTTAGTCTAATGCCTGGTAATCACTTACTAGTGATGAACATTTCTTTTATAATCTGTTTACAAGTGTTTTTGCCTGTATTTAAAAGGTGGTGTGAGAGAAGGGCGGGACAGCAAAGTTAACTGGGATCCTCTGTTGAACCTGTCTCTTTCTCACCACATGCTGTGTTTAGCAGCTTTGCATCATGGCCAGGTAGCTGCACGCTGAGTGATGGGGGTTTTCAGGCAGCTCTTTCTCCTGCTCTGGAAGAACATCACATACCGCAGGAGGAACAAGGTGGCCACATTTTCACTACTGTTTCTAAATGGGTTGTAATACTATGAGACACAGCTTGGAGTATAAACCTGTATCTATAACACCCTCCTTTTCTTCTGTTACGCAGATCCAGCTGACCATTGAGCTCCTCTGGCCGCTCTTCCTCTTTGTCATCCTCGTCTCTGTCCGTCATTCACAGCCTTACAAACAGAGCCAATGTGAGTGTTGTTATGTAATGTGTGTCTTTTCACACACACACACACACACATACACACACTCTAAAGGTCTGAAAAATGGCCTTGTGCCAACCAGTTAAAGAGGATTAACTCACTGAGAGTGATTCTTGAACCACACACTCACGCACTTTTGTTTTCCTCGCATGCTGCATTCTGACCTTGCTTGAGAAGTTGTACTTTTCCCATTTGAAGACGTAAAAAAAAACAGTAAAGCTACATATTGGTAGTTTATTGGTGCAGAAAATTAAAATTTCTATAGACTGAAACAAATTAGCCAAAACCCCCACAAACACAACCTTGTATATGATTAAATTAAAAATGTTACCAAAGTTAAAATTTTATCCCAACAAGTATTTATTTATGGTTTGGTAGTATCGTAAGTAAAGACGTTGATACGTTTTTCTACATGCAGTGCACTTTGCAGACTCTGCTTTTATACTTATTACCAGACGTTTCTTATTTGAACACTTACTTCTTCGTCCACGTTTCGTCCACCGGTCTTACGTTTAAAAGAAACTCAGGTTGAAGATGATATTCTTTTTTTAATTAAGAAAGCATTTTTTCTTTAAGTATCAACAGCTCAGGTATTGCTCAAGTAATTGTTGAGTCCATTTTCACAATAAGTCTTTGTTTTATATTTTGGGCTAATCTAATGAGCTGCATGTGTTTCTTTCTTCTCTCCTTTGCTTTTAGGCCACTTTCCAAACAAAGCCTTGCCGTCAGCAGGCACCTTGCCCTGGATTCAGGGCATAATCTGCAACATCAACAACCCCTGCTTCCACAGTCCGACACCGGGAGAGACAGCGGGCCAAGTTGGCAACTTTGACAACTCCATGTAAGTAAAAGTAAGGGCAGCTGTCTGGAGCTGGAGGTTTAGAGTTTGTAGGATTAAATAGTGTAAAAACAAACAGACAGACAAGCTACATTCAGTTCAAGTTTTTGTTGGAAATAATTAATGTTTTTGTTAAAAATGTCCTCCTGTGACTTTTAACTCTGTAGACTAAAACGCAATGCTTTTGCTTAGAATTGACAGTAGACTGTAAGTGCAGCCATTATTTAAGTACCATTAAAATGTTGTTGAACTATTGCTTGCGTTTGCTTATTAACAGCTGAAAGGACCTGGCTAGTTTGACTGTAACTAGACTGTAGTAACATATTTTTAGCTTCTCAGCATCAGTAAGCAACCTTTAAATGTCTTGCATACTTATTCCTGCAAAAGAATAGTTTGACATGTTGAATCAAATTTTCTGGTTCTACCATTCTTTAAAATATTAGATCATTTGATCAAAACCCCTTTGTGGCTAGATATGAAGCTACAACTAGCTGGTTAGCGTAACACAAAGAGTGGAAATGGAGTAAACACCACGTCTGGGTCTATGTTGAGATCTTTGGGCTCAATTGTTGGAGTCACAACAAAAAGCATTATATGGTTTTATGTGAGGTTATATGCAGGACTGTTGTTGGCAAGGCGTTGTCTTCCTCTGGTCATTTTTTTTGCTATGAGGTTGCAAGAGAATCTTTTTTTTCGTTTCCCAGGTAGCTTTAATTTACTTTAATATCATTTAAGTAAACCTATTTTTTGTGTATCCATATTTTTTTCATTCCTTCATGGGAAGGGAAAAATTGGTGCCAAGTTACAATTAAAATGTATTTATTGCAACTTGGCGCTCAGTGATTTAACACACATAAATGTAGACAGATGAAGCTTGGTATGAAACCACCAACCCAGTGATTATTCAACGACCCACTCTCCATCTCTTGAACCACCGCTGCACTTGTTTTTAAAGTTAACCATTAAAATGCAATTCTTTTAACATCCGACTTGCTCTTGTTCATTCCCGTATCTGATCAAAAAGTCTGAATAAACAGTGTTCTGTAAGAACTTCCAGGTTCATTTTGGACACATTATTGCAGATGCAGATGGATAACTGGTGTTGAGGGTCAATCTCAAATAGTCTGTCAAACCATTTTCTAACTGCAAGTGTTCATTCCAGTAATGAGGCCTCTCATTGTCTTCCTATTACAGACTCTCTCGTCTATTTGTGGACGCCCAGACTGTTCTATCCTACAGTGGAAACCGGAGCTTCTCAGGCTTTCAGGACCTGATCAAGAGTGTCCGAAGGCTGGGAGAGAGACCTGGAGCCTGGCCAAGTATACAGCTTGTTTGAATCTCCTCTAGCACCTGAAGGGATACCTTGACATTCTGACACAGTGACACCAAAACAAAGCAGTGTTCACATTATCTAGATACCTTATTCAGCTGAGAAATGTTTTTTTCTTTTTCTCTGTAAACCTTTGATGGACACTATTATAAAGGAAGTTATTAGATATCTTTGTAGTACCCGTTATACATAATTTAAGCAGGCCAAATGGAAACAATATGGTATGAATAAATGAATGCCAAGGTATAACTATGAGGTCGTCCCCCAAGAATCAGAAGGAATTATGTATATGGAGAAACCCAATGGAGTCTTGTAGTTGAATCAAGGTCATTTGGTTCTGAATAAATTAAGGAAAGATGAGCACAAAGATGAAATCAGGGAATCCAACAGAGGCAAGCTGAAAGAGAGGGGAAAGATTGCTATGCTAATGTTGTTTTTTGAGTAACAAAATGCTATCAGGGTTTATTGTA